GAAAATTTTTTATAATAATTGAAAAGAAACGGAAAAATGCATGAGAATATGCTATTATAATTTTCAATTTTGTTTTTTTTTTATGTAAATCAGTCAAAAATATAGGTAAAAATTTAAAATTTGAACAGAAAATTTAAAGTGGCCTTTTCTAGATGTAAACAATTTTTAAAACATTTGTGACATTTTTAGCTATTTATACATTTTAATTTTGGGAGTTTTTAAGTAATTTGTATTTTATAGGTACTTATATTTAAATATATAATTTGAAAAAAAAATTATTAAATCGACATTTTTTAACTAAAGCTTTATTTCTGGTAGAAAACATAATTCATAATTAAAAACAATGAAATCGGTAACACCATGACGTGCCTTAAGGAACCCCTTGGAAAATTAAAAAACGACCTCCTTGATGCACCAACTAGATAAAATTTTCTTTCAGAAAAAATGCTACACTTGAGGTACATCGGAGTAAGATTTTCGTTCGAAAAGTTGCTGCTTACAGGTATAGAAAAAAAAAAGCATAAAAAAACCAATAGATCTCTTGTTACGCTCCAAATCTAAAAAATGGCCAAATTCAGGTTTATTGGTTTATAAGACAGCCACATTCACGTTTTGCCACCTGGAATTTCGCTGTTGAGTAGAACTAACTAAACTAAAAAATCTGTATTATCTAAATTATGCTTTCACACGCAAAATAAGGCGCGTCACTATTAGCCGTGTGATGTTCTTTTTTGTGATACAAAATATCCATAATTCTTAAGTACAAATACAACTGGTTCCAAATGCTAGAAATATATGATTACAAATCTTGGAAATACTTTGATTGAAACAATGTTACTCTTATCATTTATACATTTTAATAAAAAATTTCTCCAGGGTAAGATTATGGAAAACTAAGTGAGAACAATTAATCTGCAAAGATATAATAAAATAATATATATTTTAGAATCGAAATTGGAAATGGTTAATTTAATTTAAATTTTAAATTCTGAATGTAATGAAGAATGTACCTATTGGATTTACAAAGATGTTTTTTTATTTTATATACATATATATACTGTGACAAAAATGTCTACCAGAAATCTTGCTTCTATATATGAGTGTAGCACCTTTTTTGAAAGAAAATATAATAATATTGACTATATGATACTTTAGGAAGGTTATATTTTGATTTTCTAAGCAGTTTTCATAATATCAGAAAAACCCAGGCTAAAATGTAAGAAAACCACGAAAATTGACGAAAATTGTCATTTATTTGAGGTAATTTGCAGCATATAATTATTATAATTCCGATTACTTTTTATTAAATCTTGACGGTCTATCCAAAATGATTAAATGAGACAGCTATAAACAGGAATTGATAAAAAAGTTTCAGTTAATTATTAATTAAGTGAATGATGAACAATGAACTATTTATTAAGTTGGTACCTACCTAATTTATTAAATTTACTTTTTGAAATCAAATTTTTATATTTCAAATTAATATAAATAATGGTTGTGTAATAATTGATCCTTAATAATTAATTTAAATATTAGTTATTGGTTTTCTGTTGTACGCCACAGGTGTGTGGATATTGCTATGTGTCAGGTACGTCAGCCACTTGTGAAACATGGCAATACCACTAATACACTTTCGACAGTATTTACTACATGGCGGCTGGTGACTCGTGACCAACAGGGTGACAGAGAATATGCAGACTATCTATAGCATCATGTTTCCATAGTAGGTATCTACGTTTTGAAGTCATTCACCAAATCCTACCCAGATAACACATTGAAATCCCATGGACATTTGATAGATATCCTAAAATGGGAAAAGGTGGGATAAATAATAAAAATGTTAATTAATTTAAACATTTTTTTTTGATTATAATTTATAGATTATATACCTGATCTAATAACAAAAATTTTAAGTCAATTATCTAATTTAATAGACATTTTTTTGAGTATTTATAAATATTTAAAATATTGAATTAATTTTAAATGTTTACTCACTAAGAATAATTTCATACGTTCTTAAAGAACCAAATCCAAGTTTCTCCTTTTCTATTCTTATGTAAATCACTTTTGTAGCCAACTCATTTGATAGTAAAAATTGAAGTGAATCATAAACAACTTGCTTAATATTATTCCCATCGATTTTTAACAATTCTGCAACCTAAAACAATAAAAAATACAATGTTAATTATATACCAAATATAAATACATAGAACATTTTTTTACTAATAGTTTTTCAAATACTTCATTATCTTTTAGTTTTTTATTCATATTTATAGGATCTTTTAATGTAAAGGAAATAATTGGCATATTTCAAAACTTTGACAATAATTTCCTGTCTGATACATCATTAAACAAATTATTATGTTTAACCACACCGCAAATATTTTTGATCACTTCAACAAATTGATTAATTTTCAATTTTAATTGCATAATACAGTTAATTACATATTCTTGTTTTAACTGATCTACCAGAGGTCCTGAAATAGTTTTCTAAATATCTGTGAGCTGTTTGTTGTAAGGGTCAATCTGGTTTTCGTGTTAATTTATTTTATTTTTGCCCATTAGCTCTTACATCATTAGCTAAATTAATTTATTCATGTATACTATGTGTTAGATGGTGTGTACCATAAATAATTTGGAAGGATACTACAAAGTGCTTTGATAATTGTTCCGCATTGTCAGTATACTTTTAAATACAATGATTTTGAACATAATATTGAAATTGCTGTGTGTTATGTAAGAGAATTATTGTATAAATATAGTGACACATTAGATTTCAAAGCAACTGGTCCACTGTACAATAAAAATTGTCGGAATTCAGATGCTTTCCAAATTTTGAATAACATTATAGACCTAGGCAATCTTTGAAATTTTTTCGGATCATATTTCCTTACATTATTTTCAAGGACTTGTGTTATTGCACACACTTTTTGAAATGGTAATCTAACTTGTAGAAAATCACTAGTCCACAAAATAAACAATTTTTTTATTACCCCAAAGCATACAAGATGTATATATTCCAGAGGTACATATGAAACAAGTCCAAGATTTGGTATAAATTTAAGTGGACTCAAACCATGATGGAACTCATCATCAGTATGGGTCATAAAACTTTTGTCTGTTCGAAAAATAGAATCCATTTCTGGAAAACATATTCTATTTTTTTTGTATTCTCCATAAGCTAAATATTTTGTGCAGCTATTATATCCTGTATGTCTTTTTATATTCAGGAGAAACGATTTAACAGGCACATTAGCAATAACCATTTGAAAAATACACTTATAAAATCATCTTTAAATTGTATACCATTTTCTACTATTTCTTTTGTTTCAACTACTAAGTTGTTCAGAAATGTGTGAACATTCAATGGTTTTTTATGTTGTCCATGATATACTCCAATGAGAAACATAAAACTAAAATTGTGTACGGAACTTAATATTAGCCACAGTTGATTGCCTGATGATTTTGAAATGGGTAAACCATCAACACTCAGACAAATTTTCAATTCAGATTTGACTATGTTTGAATTGCATTCTAAAAAGCTAATTAACACTTGCTTCAAACCAAAATGGTAATAAAAACCCGGTTCAACTTCTTTTACAAATGTTTGTCTAGGAGTATGTAATAAACTTCTAGCATCAGAGGGTAAATCGTTATTAAATTTATGAGATTTTAGAACTTTTAATGATTTATTCAATGTACTATGTGACAGTTTTTCTTCAATAGTCATTGAGCAATTATTTCTTTAAAGTTTAATTTTGCATTGTTCATGTTTTCTTCTATTATTTCTACACACTCGTGGCTTTTTAAATTTCTTGAATTATCAGAACTAATGCTAAGTACAGATATCGGTGAAATATTTGTCAATGCAGGAGTTCATGTTGATGCCAAAGAGAACAAGATAGTTGATACTTGAGCGTGGTCAAAAATTATTAAGTTATTTTATTTTGATTGAAGAAAATTAATAGTGGAAAGTATCGTACTTACTACAGGAGAAATGGGACTTACATAATTATAATTTTTCTTAGATTCTTGACTGCAAGAATATTGATTTATATCCTGTTCAACAAGACGTTGAATATGACACGCTGACATATTTGAAACATTTTTGTTTTTATTTTTTCTGAAAAAATAAATATTCTATTTCTATAAGTGTCTATACACTTTTGCTTTTAACATTTATAAATTATACTTCATTATTTATTTACTAACTTATGAAGTATATTGTAGTTATGTACATATTTTAATTAAATTTGGATGTATTAAAATGTATTACCTACAATTTTACATACAAAAATGTTTACGTCTATTTGATACTATACAATTACGATTATTGTGACTACATACATAGGTATAATATTATTTATTAACTTTATGAATTAATTAGGTACATTATTAAGTAAAACGCATTAAGTAAAATAGGTAACATTATATACAGTTTAAACATGTAATTGTTTCGGTATAAAAAAAAAAATCCATAAATTATTAAAACATATGAACATTAATTCCAATATATTGTTTCCTATAAAACATAAAGTCAATAGATAATATGCAAGTACATGTTATAATGACATAATAATATATTATATCATGTTCAAATAACTACGCAACTAGTAATTAGGTATTTAGTATCATGCTGTTTAGTCCCTCGTTATGCTTTTTTTTTTTTTATTTTTTTTTTTTTGTAAGATGTGTTTCTGACGCTAAGTAAGCAATGGTACAAATATAATTTTTCGGTCGTACTTTGAATAGTTATTGAACTTCTGCAAAGTTTGATATTATAACAATGCGATACCACAAAGTTTTCACTTTTTTTTTTTTTTATGAAACCTATATAATATTACTAAACCAAAAATAATGACTAAAATGTAATTTGAAATTAAAATTGTTTAAAATCGCGAGGTGCTAAACAGCAATGTTCCTATGTGTATATATATATCATGATTATTGTGTACACATGTTTTAATTAAAACAAATTATTGAAAATATTATGTGCTTACCTCATTGAGTTATTCATTGCGTAGGTTTTAGGCACAAATAAGTAATAACTTAAAAAACATACAACGTGGGTTATAATAGGTTAAAATATCAGATCTAGCGTGTGTCTGAAATAAAAAACCACGGTTAACGGATATCTTTGGATATAGACATATCTATAAATGTGTTATCACTTATCAATTATAACCCCTATTGCTATAATTAACGTTCACGGACCATAGATTTATCTACGGAAGAAACTGGCAACAAAGACTTGAACAACGCAACATTGTGCATGCCGCGTATTCGAAGTAAGTATAATAATTAATATCATTTTATCAAGCCTTCATATAACAATATAAAATCTGTGATATCCGTTATTAATTGTAAAAATTATTGTACAAGATCTGTCGGGCGTCTCTATGAAATCTATAAGACCAAAATATGACATCAACAGATATTCACACAGATATCCGTAAATTACAAAATTATTATTAACAGTGTTATCTGGGAATATTCTTTTATTACGTCAATGCATTCCTATTTGTTGGAATTAATGGACCGATGTACCGGGTGCAATAAAATAATTAAGTATAATCATAAAATATAAAGTGAAGGTCATTCTATATTTTATATTTACGCCGGCCAATAAGTGTTTAAATCAAATTGACGCCCACAACGAAGGACGTAACTCATTTTTTATCATTTTCCAGGAGAGCAGTTTAAAGATCTCTAAATTAAATTGTTATTATGCATTTCAATTATTTAATATTTTGATTTTTTTAGTATTTAGATTTGTTAGTGTTGAATGTTGGTGTTAGTGTTGGAAATTGCTAGTTTTTTTTTTTTTAAAAAAAAAATGTACTATTCAGTAATAATTTAAGTCATATTTTGCTATTTTATTTGACTAACGTCCGTTTTCGACGGGAAAAAATTCTATGGAAAGAAAAAATTTATAACATATTATAAACTAACTAGTTTTTTTTTATGCATAATACTAATTATTTAATGGTAAAATAATGGTTATACTTAATAGTCAATACTATCGTTATTATTTAGGTTTGTACTAATTTTAAAAATAGAAACTGAGTTAAGTCTTTTTTAGTAAGATATAATTATTGCTTTAATAGAACATAACTAAAGATACGTCTGTTTTCGACTTTATTTATTTTTAGAATCTAAAAGAAAGCGTACTGAACTATATCTTTTAAGGGAATTCGATGTTACTGTTGCTACTGGTGCAGAACAGCTAGATATTAATGCGCAGAGACCCTAAACAAACAAATACGAAACTGTTGGTGTAATAATTTGTACTGACCTGTTATTGATACCATCATAAATCATGTAAAATCAGAGATTTTCCGGAGAATCGCAAGAATTAGACCAAACAACAGAAAGTTTTTTTCGATAGGACTGCAACCCTTTCAGCTCCTCCCGTAAATACGTCCCGGATTCTACCGCTAAAAGTACCTATATAATAGATTTGATGAATCACTATTAAAACAATTATTACGAAATACATGTGTTGTAACATAACTAGGTATTTATAAAAGTATCGAAACGTTCAATATCAAAATATATCCGTGGTAATACCGTATTCAAATAATAGTCATTGCTCAATATTGTAATATTATTTTATAGCGTTTTACAAAACCTCTACAATAATGTAAATACCTGGTGTACGATGTTTTGCAACAGCTTGTGCGAACCTCATATTAATAAAATATTATAATTTCCTGGAATATTAATCAAAATTAAACACGTACAGGTCATCCTGTTATGTATCTAAAACATTCTTGAAAGATAATAATATATTTCCCATGATCCATAAAATATATATTTCATAGTAAGGCATATGATGAGGACAAAAGAAATAAAAAACACATAAATAATAATTATTTTTCTCGATACCGATTCTGTGCTGTTAATACCCATCCATGTAGTGTAACATTATTATTAATAATTGATTAGTGAAATATGGCAAGGGAAAATACGTTACACAATATTTTTATAGATACCCGTAATAATATCCCTCGCGTTGTTTACCGCAGCCATTAAAACCACCGAGATCCCCCTAATAAATATACCTAAACTCGTATTTATTTTCCCTTGTCTCTTTGCCATAGACATATTAATAAATAATATTAATATATCTATGTTCTTTAGTTAAGCAGGTATTAAAAAAAAATAATACGACTTTATAATGAATTTCCGTGATTGTGTAAAACTGTAAAATATTTATATTTTATCGGAAAAAAATACTATTATTATTCTTTAATAATAACAAAAAGTATGATTATACTAGAGTTTAATGGGCCTAGTACTTACACTACTTACACAATGGTCAATTGAACAGTTGAAAGATAATGTAATAAATAATATAGGCGTGTATATCATCATATGAATGGTTATAATTTTGACAAATTTTTAGTTAGTAGAACTAATTTTGTGCTGTTAGTTTTAATACCACCAAAAATTAGTATAAATAAAAGTGAATTTGATGCACTATTAAACTTAAATATGGAATATTTTCTGTGTTTGTACATTGATTTTTCTTACAAGTTTAAATTATTAAACGAGTTATAAATATTATCAAATTTGTAATATTTTACATAATAATTTATAACCGCGTCTAAATTAAAAATTTAAAAATCCAAAAAACGTATTTTTATTTAAAAACCCACAATTAGGGGTGGATTGAGCCACCAGGACTTCGGGAGTTTTACTGTTGAGCCGCTCTTTCAAATAACTATTTTAAAATTATGTTGAAATTTTTAAGTACATAGCGTTTTAATTTTTAAAATATACCTATAATGAAAGATAAGTACATATACAGGATGATTCACTAAGCGTGCACACACAATTTTAAATTCTGAATGGAGCAAAAAAGCTTATGGTTTTTCAATGATGTATTTTTTTTTTTTTATCTTTGAATAACTTTTCTACTAGAAATATTGTTCCAATTTGCAAGTGTAGCACTTTTTCTGAAAGGAAATCTGACTAGGGTGATACTATAGGGTCATTTTTTGATTTTCTCAATATATTTGAAAAACCGGTAAAAATACTGGGAAATATACAAATGTATAGTAAATAAGGATAATAAAATAACAAGATACTCCTTAAATGTTATGAAAAATCTAAATATTCGGTAATATAAACTTTAATTACATTTAAAAATTCTAAAAATCAGAATATGATATACAAAATTTAATCGAAAAAATAAAGTGAACACGCTTAGTGAATCACAAGCTATGAACAATATAATTATTCCTTTAAAAGTTAAGACTGAATTTGTTATAGAGTAGTGTTCAATAATACAAAACGAAGATTTTTTTTTAAATTTAATATAAAATATTACATATAGATATGATTGACAAATGACGGAACTTAACAGTGAATAATTTCTTTCCAAATGTGTAGTTATGTTAAAATAATGTTAATATATATTGTCTAAAATTCAATATTTGGTAAATAAATAAGTGGGCTGGTACTTTTGTATTTTCCCAGGCTAAAATCTTTTTTTAAATGAAAGTATTTTATCTAAGGTATCACTTAAGTATTTAGGGTGAGGATCATAATTTATTCAGCTAGTTATGTCTGCCACATTGATAACAATGAAAAGCTGAAATAGAGCTTGAAAGAATTGAGGAAGAAGATTACTAAGCATATTACCTCTTTAAGAGAATGTTTTTCAGAGTATTATCAATAAGGTCTACCTACTTGATAAGTATAACAATCGCATAAAAATGCATTATACAAAAATGTATAGGTAATGAATACAACCTATAAATGACTATAATACATAATAATATACACTAATCTGTGAGATTAGATTGGTACCAATACTTGTTTAAATAATGCTAGGTATTTAAATATTAAAACTCAAGGTTATTATTTAGTTAAATGAGTATTAAAACATGTAATTTGCCGTCTATACAAACATTTTGAAGAAATCTTAATGTTGTTATGAATTTTAATCTAAATTAGCAATTAATATTTATATGATTAATAAGTTGTATTATTATTAATTTAACTAAAAATGATAGTGGGTACTACTTTTTTTTTTGAATATAACTTAAGTTGTTCACTATTTACCTATACTTATTATAAAATATATGCATACATAATATTTTTCACATGATATAGTTGGATACAATGAATTTAAAAGAAGAGATCAAGTAACATTTTGACCAATTCAGTTTATTTTTATTAATCTTTCTTTAATTCTTAATATTCAAATTCATGTTATTAACAACAAGTATTGTATATAGATCTCTTAAAGATCAACATTTATCCTATCTCAAAATATTAATTATAATATTACAATATATTTATAAGCATTATAATTAAAAATATTTATACATTTTTATACAATTATTTATGGTTTTTAACACTTAAGCCAACATCATAAATGTATAATTGATTAATTTATCAATATATTTAATTCTGAAAGGTAGATTTAATAGTCATTTATAAACCACCTTCCTATTATGATTTATAATCATATAAGTAGTATGGTTGAATTATTTACCTAGGTGACCCAAGCAGATTGTTGGTAGAGGACTAAAATCCAATTTTAGGGAGGTATTTGAGAGAGTTGAGTCATAAATTATTTAAAATTTTTAAAAAATTAACTAAAAAATTGTCGTAAACAATGTCATGGAATTTCAATAAAGCATACACACAAAAATTTATATTTTATATTTAAATTAGGTATATAATAAAAAACAAATGCAATATAAAATGGTATAAAGTTTTAAATAATATACCATCACTATCAATCAAATAGTGACTAAATGATTTAAAAATTTATATTTAAACTTATTCAACTTTGATTTGAATCAAGAATTATGTGTTAAGTGGTTTCTAAACTATGTATAGTATTATTTAGGATATGTTTTATATACCAGAAGTTCTCAAAGTGGTCTATTCTGACATGTAATCGAAAAAAAAAAATAGGGCGCATAAGATGTAAATAAGAGTAATAAATGATATTAGGGGGGGGGGTTATGAAAAATAAAAAAATTAGCAAGTAAAAAAAGGTTGGAAACCACTGATGTAGGGATGAAATAAAGTATTTAAATATGGTTTTTATATTTTTGTCACTTTTTATATGACGGCAACAATAAATTTAATTTACAATTTGAGAACTAGTTTGTAGATGTCTCATAAAGATTTACAAATTAAAATTCCTTCATTGTTCATAAAATCTTTTATTTATGTATTAAGTAAACACAATTTGTATTGTATTAGCCAATTCTTCTAAACTCCAGCTAATCAGTTATACATTTAACATTGTATATTAACACATCATAATATTAAAAGAATAACTGATTGGTTCAAATTTATAAGAATTAGTTAATACAGAAGAAATTATTCTTTTCCTACAGAATTAGTAAACCTTTATTAGACGCTGTATATAAAAATTTCTAAATATGTTATTAATACATTCCAGAAAATACGGTAGAATCTGTCATATTATAAGCTATGAAATTCTATAACCATAGGCGCACACGTTTTTGGGGGTGAAACTTTGTACAAAATTTTAATTCAAATATAAATTTAAATAAAAGGAAACAAATAATTATGATTTTTTCAATATTAACTTTGTTCTTTAAGGCTGAAGCCCTATAAATCTCCCTTGGGTACGCCTCTGTCTATAAAATGAAGATCTGTTTTTTATAAATGGTTTTCTATCATAATTAGTTTTATTTATGGAACAGTTGACAGTAATAAATACAATGTTTAGAAAAGGGAAATGTTTAAATTTCAAAAAAGTTATTTATAATGTACGTAAAATTATGTGTACGCCTGAATCTGTATGAATAGGCTCGCTTAGCTCTCCAATTTTTAAAGCAAATGAAGCATCTTCAAATGGCTTTTGCATTGTGCCTCTTGTGAATGGTCCCAAATCACCACCACGTTTGGCTGAACTACAATCTGAATATTTCTGGGCAAGTTCAGCAAATGATGATTTGCCAGCAACAATTTGTTCGCGATAAGCTTTTTAATCAATAAAAAAAATATTAGTTACATTAACCACAGACTTATTTATAAGTAATTGCAGATATATTTACATTTTATAATATCAACAGCTTCACTTTTTGATCTAGTAATAGATCCTTCCCGCCACGATGAAGGTCGGCGTGATTTTTCATGTTTAACCAATAAATGACTACATTGAACTTGTTCAGGACCATTACCAGCCGGATGCTCCGAAGCTGGTTTATTTGGTATAGACCATTGACTTTCTTTAGTCAATAAGTTTAAATAATAAGTTTGACCTGAAAATTATTGAAAACATGATTAATTCAACTCAAGATATATTTTTTTAATTTAATTTAAATTATAGGTGTATAATTAATACCTACGTTAATTTATTTTTAGCTCTTATATATTCACACCTAACAGCAGTTACAATGATAAATATAGTGATATTACAATACAATTATACCAAATTACTGCGTGGTCTAAGATTTTATTGGTTTGATTTTTCACAGTATGTGTTTTAGTACTTAACTCAAGTGTGAGGTCTAAATTAGGTTTATTAAACAAATTGATATTTCTATTGAGTCGTTGTATAGATAGTGTGTTTTATGATAATACATTTAAACATAAAATATTACATTTTTTTTAAGTACCTACTACCTATTGACAATTAAATGTTTTAATGAGTGACTTACTTATACTTTGTTTAAGATTAGGTTACTTACTAAAATATCATTATCACCAATATTAAGTAGGTATATGAATAATATTTTAATAATTATTTCATCCAAAAAATGTTTATTGATTATTTAATAGGTCTAGTATAATACCTATAAAATATAGTTACTTACATAGTAGAAATCACAATTTTTATTATATTATAAGATGTAAGGGACGCATACAACAAGGAAAAGATTTCTCTGGAACAGTATTATTCAGGATAATATTTGATTGGCATGAATTATTATAGTGAAACAATATTTCAAAAAAACGATAAAATTCAAGAATGATGTTATGTAGGAATAACACTTTGTCAGAAACATAAATGTCTTGAACTGAATGAATCTGGACAGTATTTCACTAAAATATAATATTAAAAAGATGACACAATTGATAAATATTAAGTGATAACACATTTATCGGTTCATCATTATCCCCAAACTTTTTATATGGATAAATGTATCAACAAAATAAAATACAACAAATTAATCAATTCAGTGTATAAAATATAAATTCCCCTTAAATAGATGATTGATCTATTCGTTTCATTCAATATAATAAATAAATAATGTTGGTTCTAACAAATACAAATTTAATGACCATTATTATTGTTATTTAATTATCATGGTTTCCAGAATGAAAACAAATAAAATGTTAAGTAGGGTAGGTATAATTAAAATTTAAAAAACAATAACCTCATTATTTTAAGAACATAATACACATACCAGTATTAGCTAACCTGGGCAGAAATCTTAGGAGTTACTTCAAGATTTCAGAAATTAGTGTAATATGTACCTCTCTAAACTGAAATTTCATAAGAAACTTTTGGAGAAGTGATAAATATGTTAGTTTTTTAAGCTTTTAATTCAAGATAATATCTTAAATTTGTAACACTAAAGTAGTTTATAAATGCAAACAAACTGTTTAAATGTATTAATTTCATAATTAATATGAACATCCCATTTTAGGTTTTCATCAATGAAAATATTTAGATATTTTAAGAATGCAACTAGATTTAATAATTTAAATATAAATGAGTATACATCATTTAAAGTTTAGCTTTTATTTAACTAATCATATAATCAGTTATCTGATTATTTGTTCTTTTATTTTTCTGTTTATATATTGTCTAGCGAAATACCGGTTCTGACGAATATGGTTCCCGATATTTATTTTATTGATTTATGTATTATATTGTCTAGTTACACAAATCCTCAGAAATATCTTTCCAATAAAATATTATTCCTGAAAAATATTGTTTTATAAAATTAACATTCCATGCAAATATTGCGTATGTAAATATTTTCTGGTAGGTATCATATTATAAAAGTACCATTTTATACAATATTTAATAAGTCAAATAAATTTAAAAATTATACCGAAAATAGTTAAAAAATTATAAGATAATTCAAATTTTAGAGTGCAGGAATATCTCAATTTAGTTTTGCAAATAAATGCCTTAATATTTCTATGTAACTCACCACCCTCAAATCCAATCACTATATTTATGCTGAAAGCTAATAACTAATAAGTACTAGGTATTAAGTACCTAGTAATGATCACCACAAATAGTTTTTACTACTGAATTCTTTATTCTTTAGAATACTTTTTTTTATAACCAAATATTTTTATTTGGAAAACAATTGAATATTTTGAAAAATTATTTGATTAGTTTTTTTGAAAACCAAATATAAACTATTCAAATAGTTTGATAGCAATAATTAAATTGTACCCATCACTAGTATTAAGCATAGGCATATAAAATTATTTATATGTCTATGGTATTAAGCAATAGACTATTAATTTTCCATAAAATTATACCTACGGATATTATCTATAAAATCTAAATATTAGACTAACCATTCTTCCAATTATAAAGGTTGCTTTATTTTATAGTGAGTATCACAGGATATAGGTTTAAAAACTATAAATATGAATTAATACAACTTTAAACCAACAAAAATACATTGATTTAACTGCAAATCATTCTTGGCAGGTTGACAAGTTTATTTTAAATTATAATATTAAAGCATAACACTGTTTAAAATAATTTCCAAAATATTCTTTACACTGTAACTAACTTGAACTAATTTGATTTTTAAAAAAATTTGGCTTGCCTCATCACATTTTTAAAATACTCTAAATACTTAAAATACTCTAAATAATATCAAAGTAATAACAATTATAATCTAATTCAAATATATTATTACATAAAACCTATTGAATCTTTATCAAAAATCCAGGCTTACAAATTATACAAATTACTATAGTTTAAATAAACTAGTTAAATTTCATTATACTTAACCCTGTAATATACAGATGATTTATCTAAGTACCTTAATATTTTATATATTTACATCCATAGACATAATCTATATAGGTATCAAGTTGTTATTGTAAGATAAGAAAATTATAGAAAGGTCAAATAATAAGTGTTATTATTAATTCATATTAAGATATTGCAAGGTATACATAGGACATATTGTATTATTAATAATAAAATATGTATCATTAGAATTATCGATAGATTTGATAATAAATAGACAGCATTAATAGAGAAAAACCATGAGATGCAAGATTAAAAATTGTATTATAAAATTTTGAGGTGCATACATAAAAGTATCTTAATTATCGATTTATAATAAATGGCATAAACTAAAAGTGTAACATAAAAGAAGGTACCCAACCATGATCAATCGACCAATGAAGCGGTAGAATTGATACACTCCAATTTGAAATTAACCATATACTTAATTAAATGAAATGCTATTATGTTTAAAATTCGTATATCCTAAGAAATTAACATTACTTACTAGATTTGTTAGGTACATAGGTACCTATAAAAACAAATACAATATTATACAAATAATGTACCAGATAATTATCAATCCGATTTACGCAACATTATTAATTTTTCTAAACGATCATCATTATAAAAGCATCTACACGGCATACGGAATATATGCAAACAAAAAGATTCTACTGGGATAACCAGTCGGACAATACGTTTGACCCTGAAGAATGGTCAATGTCTGTGTTACTTACCAGTTGACCTGCTAACTCGCTTCTCCCATCCAGCAGGAAGTTGTTCTTCTTCACTCATTTTACTTTTTTGGAGATCGGTTGTATTGCCGTCCCGTTTTTCCATCACCGGAAAACTATGCTAAATGATAAAATATACCGCTAAGCAGCGGGAGTGTAGTAGAAACGAATGGAATAAAAAACGGCGCCAAAAATACTGTTTTTTCACTTTTATTTATTATTGTAAATTATTATTATGTTTATACATAAAATATTGCATAAACATGGACAGATACCGGATAGAAATGTATAAACAACGGTGAAGAGACCAACATTTTAATCATCGTTCCAAAGGCGGCCCAAAAGGTAAAAACTAACCAATAACCATACAATTTGTACAGTGGTAACGACGGCGTAAACAAAATCCCCAGCTGTTCATGTTTCTATCCTCTTTGGTTACATGAACGTATACAATATTTCAAATTTGTCCAATAAATTAAAAATGTTAACTTTTTTTTCACCTAGAAAATATGTCGAACCCTCACTCAATATATCTAATGAGTTAATATCTTTGATTATTTTCTCAATAGATTTAATAATTTAATACTTTTTTAGTTTAGATAATATTTTTGATACTACCAACTGCCATTAATAATTTAATATTTCTATTATCAATATCATCGAAACTGAAGTCAAATCAATAATTTTTATCAAACGTTTTACATTGAAACGAAACGTTTCAAATCAATCCGAAAATGATGTTAAATTAGAAAGTTCAATAATTTTGATAAAACAATATTATATCTATCGATAAGCAATCCAGACATCCAGTAAATATATTTTTTATACCGAATTTGTATTAATTTTTTTTTAAGACTTGCACTATTAACTTATTACCATAATCAATTAATTTTCCAGAGTTTATAAAACAGTTGGATCTAATTTGCTACATAATATAATTCCCTGATGTATTCAATTGTGACGTGTCCTGAAATATTCATTAATATTTGACTGAACTACAATTATAAATTGGTAAGTCTATCTATTGCATACATACCTCTATAACTAATACAACATGAATGACTTTTTAATCAAATTTATTAAATCCAAATAATTACCTGACCCGGTACAATAAAAATAATTTAAATATTACTACTGTACTAATGAACAAATTATATTACTTATGTACTTTTTGATAAAAAAAAGTACTTTCAGAAAATGGTGTTGAAAGTTTAAATATTATTCATAGGTTATAGATCCCTATTGATTCATCATTTATTTGCATTAGGTAATTGTTACTTGTTTTTCATAGAATTTTAATAGTAGATCCTACCATTTATTTTTATTTACATTTAGGCTTGTGTTGATTCCTGTTGGGCGTTTTTTTTTTTTTTTGAATTTTATCAATTTTCGTCCAATTATTTTCAAGGTAAATATATCTGTGTTAGACCATTTTATTTCTATATTAAGTGCAATATATCTACAGATTATAAATTTTAGTGAGTTTTTGTATTGGTAAATACTTAAGAAAATTATTTTGAATGTTATTATTTAGATAATTTAAGGGTGTGTGTGAGAAAGGCTTGATCAATAAGTAGTTATAAACTTTTTAGGAAACGAAAAGTCAATTTTAAAAAAAACATGTTAGATTATGCATTAGAATGGAAAAAATATTTTTTGAACTGTATAATAAAAAAACAATTTTCACAAATTGTTGATTGAAATCCTCATTCATGCCCCATGTTATTAAAAGGATGATATTATGTATAGAATGTCCATTATCCATAGTAGTTAATTACCTATACTCTATGATATTATCTCGTACCTATTAGACTAAAAATAGAAATTAACTTTAAGGTTTAGAGTGGTATGAATTATCTATATATTTTTAAATTATTTAGGTATTACTATACATAAATAAAATTGGATTTAATTTGATTATTTCTTTTAAAAATATCAACAATTTAGAACCATATTTATTGTTTTACTAAAAAGACAAACATTGTCAAACTATAAGGAACAATGAATTCATGATCATTGTTCTATCACATAAAATACTTGATTTTTTTTTTTTTTACATTAAATTCATTAAATGTGTAACGTTAAATTAAATATGTAATGTGCCCAATTTTGTTTGGATTAATATGTTTATTTACAATGATACAATCATGAAATAGAATACTGATTCTATTTTTGGACCTTATTTTTTTTTTTATCTGTTTAATTAATTTTAAAAAACCAAAAGATTAGATAATAATTATCAATATTCAAAATTGAATATAATACCATTGTCAAAACTTCTAATAATTTATGTATTAAAATAATTCTTAAAATTGTATAAATAAGTGATTAATTATTCAATAAATAACTATTATATAACTTTTGTAAACATACAATTTTAAAATACTAACCTACAGTAGATAAGACAATTTTTAATTTAATTTGATCCAATATTCTTAAATCTTAGGTTAATAGTACCTATAATTAGATGCTTAATAATATACCTTAGCTACTTGCTATTATTTCTCATGTCTACCAGTATGTTAAACTAATGCAAACAGTTTTTTTTTATAATATTATAATTATTAATGTATTTCAATGTTTTTACTAGTATTTACTACCAAGTATCTGATTGGGAAACTTAATTCACATTGCCTTAAATATCTGTAGTCTGTGTAATCAACATTTAATGTTAAAATTGCTTGTCAACAATTATTTTTTAGCATACAATATACATGGTAAGTTCTTAAAGTCCTTATTTATTTTGCTTATTCCACTGTAAAGGTATAGTAAGTTCTTTGAGAGATGTATTAATATAATAACTTATTTGATAGTTTGGCAAGTAGACTAAAATAAATATGGAAATATGTTGTTTTGTTTTCTTTAAAATTGTAATACAAACGTGAAATATTATACTTACTTATTAGGGCAGAAAATCTCCTGTTATAATGATCATTAATAATATGCCTTTCTCTCAATTAATAATTGATATAGAATTATAATTTATACTATACTATATAATTTGTAATATATTTTTTTTGCCAATTTAGGAAAATTTTACTTATATTCATAATAATTAGCAGTCAGATTTTGTATGGTGTTACATTATAATTATGAACATTTAAATTTAACAGATTGCACCACTTAAATACCTATTATGAAAAAAAATATATACATATATATATATTTATGCTTGATTAAATACTATAATAATTATATTTATTTCAAGTTCTATAATAATTTAGGCACCTACACCTACCAGTAAAATATAAAACCTACTGACAACCTTACTGTACAAATAAAATATATGACTTTCTGACCATTATACCAATTATAATTGATCAAATTTAATAGGATCAATAGGATTTAATAGGTGTCAAGTTATTAGTGTACCTTCCTCCTCAGAATCTATCAACTCCAATTGAATTAGATATAATAGATATTCCAATAAGCCTTATAATTTGTTTATTTATGTATTGAAAATTCATATCATATACTGACAGAATCTACAACTTTGTTATCAGTTACCTACTTATTTAATTTGGTGTGCAGTTTTGTATGATACAATTTTATTTATTTATTTCACTCATTCACTCAGGTATATGTATGTACATACATATATACATATACTAAAATCTAATTAGACATGTTTTTTTTTTTTTGTAATTCATTATTAATCTTTATATTTTAATTTAAAACAATTAATGGTAAATACCTATATGAAAATGAATGTTAAAATATAATAAAATGAATCGTCAGCGTTTCCCAAACTGTGGATCCGCAGAAAAAATAATTACACATTTCTCTTTTCACTCAAAATTAGTTAAATAAATAACAAGGGAGTTGTCCAATCAATAACATCCTAGTAAAAACTTGTCTAGTGTCAGATTAAACATCAAATTTTTTTTTATGTATATATATACATTATAATAAATATATTATTTTTTCTAAATTTTATTAAAGTTTACTTCTACAATTGTATTTTATTCAATATATTGTATAATATTAAATTTTTAAAATTATTATTAGGGTTGGTTATACTGAGTGTCGCAAAAAGATATAGGTACCCATTATAATATCTCCGGAGATATTAAAGATAATCAAACTATTTTTTATATATATGTCTTGGTAAAAAAACTTAAAAATAACAAATTTGTTTTATTATTTTTGAAAATGTTGACGTAACAACTTTTTATTTTCATTAAATTCGAGATTTTTAATATTTTTTTAAAGTTCAAGGAAAAAAATTGTACAATCAATTAGCCATAATAATAAATTAGTGAATGGGATTACAGTCTACTGCATAATTATATATACTTTTCTCTGAATTTAAAAAAAATTATTAAAAATCACGAATTTAGTTAAAATAAAAAATTCAAACGTTAACGTTTTCAGAAGAATAAAACTCTATAAAATGGTTATAAAAAGTTATTTTTTAAGTTTTTTACTTTATGTTTTTAAAACATGAAAAATTAATTGAAATATAAATACTTTTAGTCCTCATCTTTGTGATTAATAAAAAAAAAAAAGAATTTAATTATCTTTATTATCTCTTGAGATATTACAATGGGTATATCTTTGTTGGACACCCTGTATATGTGTATAAAACGTTTTATACTATAACGTATAGTACAGCTCATATTAGACTATGTAACAACTAATACATAATATACATTTTTTTCCTATGAAATATATTATTATCCAGTATTCACGTTATTCTTCTTTTCCTACATCTTCGTTCCAACTATTTGGGCGCAGCGACCCATGTTTTAAACTTCAACTCGCTCCCACTTGCACCAGCTATCCTCTCATCATTCTCAATCTTGGTGAATTCGTTTAAATTTAAAACAAATATATTTTTTCATTATTTAAAAATGTAAAATACCTACTAATGTAATTAATAATAATTATTAATAAAAATGGACCTAACTTATAATTAACGATCAGAATGAAACATAACTTTCTACACTTAATAACAATTAATATAACAAATTTTCCCCGATAACTTGCTCAATGCAGCCGTATAAAAAATAATTATTTATGTGTTACATATATAAATGCATATGTGTATATATTACTGTATTGTACGTTTCTAACCCTGATTATTATTGTTTTCGTTTGAATGAAATGTATAAATAAACTTGATTTACAAATAAAAGATATCATGTGAGAATTTGTAGGTAGGTGGGTATTTTTCAAAGTGTATATCATTAATTGAACAAAGGGAAAGTGAAAGGGAGAGAAGTGGTCTTTATAATATTAGTACACACGATTTCCTTCAAATTCACCGACTCGACTATGACAGGCGACTTGGTTAGGTGTACCTGCTAAAATATTTTAATTCGCTTGTCATTCGTCACATCGTTGATTTCGTGTGCACGGATAGATATTGGATATTATACCCGTTTAATATCAATACTCGAGCGGCGGCGGCTCACGTAATCGAAACGCCGTTTACCTATTACCCCCGATAAAATTACGCGTTTCCGGATTATTATGAATTTTCGTTTGAACCGACGACGCGTGCACGCGCGCGGCCCCGACCACCCGAACGCCAAAAAATCGTCGCGAACCCGCCGTGTACATTTTGCGAACGGATATACCGGGCCCGTACTTGTCGCAGGCGCCCGCTCGTTAAAACGCGCATCGCGCACGGGTTTTGCCCGCGTTCGTTCGCCGAAACGGCCGGCGCGGGTCGGCGTTTTTTTTTTTTTATCTCTGTCAACCGTTATTGTTCGCCGAAATTGCAAAATACACGTCGCGCGGTAAACGGGACGCATTCGGTACTCCGACGCGCTTCTGGATGTTCAAACCGAACCGCCGCCGATACGCGGCGCAGCGACGGGGGCATTGTCGTCGTAGCGCACGGCGTCGTTAGCGGTCTCGCAGTCATCGCCGGTCATTGAACGGACCACGTACTTTCAGCGTTCGCGCCCGTATTCCGCCGTTGCTCGGTTTTTGAAATTCGCCCCGCGACGTCGATAGGGATTTATTTATTTATTTTTGTTATTCTTGTTTTTTTTTTTTTACCTCTTTCTCCCCCGCGACATTTATAGCGCCGGCCAAAAACGGATATTATCCCGTCGTTTCGGTAACCGTACGTAGGCACGACGCACGAGGATAGTGCCATGTCCGCGGATTCGGTAAACGTCCCGACGGCGATATTAATATTATTGTTGTAGCGTTTCGCGATGGACGACGGCGATCTGACGGCCGGATCGTACAATGGTAAATTTGATCGATTTTTTTTTGTTTTTTTTTTTCCTACACACTACAACGGGTAATTATTATTATTGTTAACACTGCTGCAGTCTCTCGTCGAATTATCGACGATATTATCGCGAGTGTTCTGCCGGAGCGTATAAAAAAAATGTAACGCTATTTCGCGGATCGCGATACGTGTATCGCAAAACACATTTCGAATTCCCCCTGTCGAGATGATAAATATATCGCTATGAATCGTTAACCGGTCGTTTTTTTTTTTAAAAAAATATTGCTACAGTTATCCGGGTTTTTTTTTCGCGTATTTTCAGAGTTTTATCCCGCGAATAACGCGCGTATACCAATTATAAATGAACTACAATTGATATTGTATTATTTTCTTTTTTATGGCGGCACGGGGTCACTAATCGCGTTAAATGTACGTTAAATATTAATTAATATTTTATGTATTGTAATAGGTTTACAGTTATTGCGTTAATTGAATACAACATCAGAACGAGATTAGAACTTTATTCCGACTGCAACGGTGCGCGATGCGCGTGTAGCATACAAATTATTATTACTATTAAAAAAAAAAAAAACCGTCTTTGTCCGTCCCGTAACGGTGCTCCGGCAGTGTGGTTAATTGGCGAAAACCGAATATTATATTATAACGGTCGAAGATAATGTGGACAGTAATATAATATTATCCGAACTTATTTGTCGTATTATTATTATTATTATATTGCGAGTGCGTCGTTCTCTGCCGGGGACAGAGTGTTAAATTCGCAATCGCGTACGACTGCGCTCGCGACTCGCGGTCGGCGGGTGACCCGAGTTGCCGTAAACAAATTCTCGACCTATTGCAATAATAACACGTACGCGTTTTCGGAAAATATCTAGGAAACGTCGTGTAATGGCGGGTACACCGGTACAATGTGTTCGTATTATTTCAATAATATCGTACGCGATATTTATACCGTTTTTTTTACGCGGCGTTACGAAAACACCCCGTACGCGTGTGTGTCGTAACCTACCGTGTCGTTGACATATTAACCTATCGGGCGCGAGCGTGCATTAGTAATTGGCACGGGCACACCTATTGCGGCAGGAGTTGTATAGCTGCGTTTGTTTTTTTAGTTGACGTTTATCGAATTTTCAAAAAATCAATCTTTCCGGGCTTATCACGCGGCAGCTGCGAGTTATGTATGTAACATTTGCCGGTTTTCCGAATTGTTTTTCGCATGAAAAAAATCACGATTAACCGTCGTTGTACTGCGGCCGTGGTGTATATTAAGCCTGTATAATATACTTGCCTATACATCTCTATATAAGCACACAATACCGAATTGAAGTGTTCGAACGCGGCGGATATTTCATTGTTTCTGTGTATATTTCACACCGTTACTGAACTGAATCAAATTCTATAGAGTTTCAATACTCAAATTAATCGATATTACTATTATTTTACATCTTTTTTTTTTGCGAAAACAAATTATGTTTTGCGCGCGCGCACAGTATACGTATCCCCTGATAAATCTACGGAAACGCACAAGGTAATACCGTAATAGATAATTTTACTGTGTACCATTATATAGTTCAAGGATTTTGTTAAATTTCCCCCTTCCTTTTTTTTTTTTTCACAAAATTTAATTTCAAGGACTATTCAACCTATAGTGCAGAGAACTGCGATCAATTTTCAAATCATTTAAAAAAAAAAAAAAAAGTTGGAAAATCCTTTCGATATTGTAGGTGGTGTGGGTAACTGGTGGTCATGGGCATATAATTTACGCAGTTTACCTATTAAAATAAGTAAAAACCATTGAACCGACGACGACGTATTTGAAATTGGTTGCATAATTAACGCTAGACGGGCCTACTTTCTGTAATTTCGTTATTGGTTCACGAGAACGATTAGTAAATCACAAGAGTTGACATTTTATAATTATCATAATATATTAACCCAAGTTGTCACGTACCTCGTATATGCTAAGTAAAGATCAGAAAAAAAAAAAAATATGAATATTTTGTTTAAAGCCAAACCATTATTATTGTTCACTATATATAGTTTTTCTGATAACGACATTTCAGAAGTTTCATTTCACGCTTCGTCCTCGGTGTCGTATGAATTTTAGTTAGGTACACACTCGCTCATTATATTCAGAAATTAGTTGGCTGTAGTCTTGGTAACATGGGTAGGTATAATATTCGAATAATTATGAATTTACACAATAGTTCTAGATGGGTATAGGGATCATTATATGAAACGCAAATGACTACGCACACACACTTTTTTTTTTTTTGTTTCAATAACATTGTGTATTATAATAATATTTTCTTGTTGCAGGCATTGTAATTATTTTGAATGCATAATTTTTAACTTTAATTTATTTACAAAAGATGTTATAGTTTTTATTTTTCTCTCTAGCTTAACAATTCTTCAAGAACATAAACCGTCAATATAACTTCCTTCCACATCTATCTATTATTCCGATCAATATTTCCCATTTTCACCGGGTGTTCTTTAATTCGATCCAACACTTTCTGGACGTCTCGACCCTTGGCCTTTTACTCGTCGGTCTCCATTCTATAACCTCTCTGATTGCGTAGATATTCTTTTTCCTCGCACGTCCAAACCATTGCCCTTTTGATTAAATTTGTTGTGTACGGTATGGTTTTATAATTATATAAAAACATTTTTTTTCATGTAACAATTAAATATTTGTAAAACTTAACGGTACCTATTTCCACGATTTATATAATATTTTATGTTATAATAACCAAATAATAATAAATAGGTATCTAGCAATAGACACAAAAGGAAATCGTTTTCTAGATGCTTTCATGTTTATGTCACCTATTTTATTACTCATCGGTATAGGTATAAGATAGAAACACGTTTTATAATACCTTTTGGTTTGAATGAAATGTTCATTGTTACGATGGTATGTATAAAAAATATTATGTGTTATATTTTCTCATGTTATACCACATAATAGCATTTTTACGTTTAAGAATATAATATACAACTGCAGTTATATGAGAAATATAATACGTTAATACTCACAATATTTCACTGCGGTGTTTGCAGTTCCCGTAATGTAATTTTTTTAACATCCAATTATTCTAGGTAAGTGTATCGATTTTATTATTGGCGGTGATTTACTTATGGATTATTTTTCGGTATGAAAATACGGAAACCTATAGGTACCTGTGCATTTTGTTTTAAAATTTTAAAATTGTGTTTGTAACCTAATTGTGCGAAATTAAAAAATTAGATTTATGAATTAATAAGCGAGGTTCTTTTGAATTACTTTTACTCAACGAATTTCAAATTCAAATAATATCAATAATATTGTTAAACTATGCAATTAGCGTGTCGTGTTTTTTTATTTTTTTGCAATGGTTTGTGTACTGCTCCAAAAAAAACGTATTTAACTTTGATCCAAATAAAAATAAAATATTATTCATTAATACTACTTATCTGTTATGATTTTATTAACATTATGGTGTACGAATATTGCATAGTGTTGTTATGGCTATTTATGTGATTATTTAAATTTTTAAAATTTATTTGACATTTTCTAATGGGTTAAACTATCTTCATGTAGGTATCGTGAAAAATCAGTAGGATTTGATTTAGAATTCTGATTCCTACAGATTCTTCCCACGCGATGCCTACACGTACAGGCCAGCGTATTTTAACATCACACGTACCCAACCTAACCCACGGGTATTTTCTTCAACGGTAACATAGTTTTTAATTTTGTATCTACTATTTAATAATACAATTATTATAAAATGTAGGTAGGTACCTACTAAAAACATACAGACTAAATGTTTGAATCTGTCTCAATTCTCATATTCGCTATACTTTGGATTAGCTTTAGGTTTTTATTTATTGTATCTTATACCTATACAATACTAATTATGTTTATTGCTTAGAATTTAAATATAAACGGTGGTAATTTCTTCTTGGTTTTCTAGAATGAAAACGGAAAATAATTTTCTACAGAACTATACAATCTGTATTCAGTAAGAATTCAGTTATATTATTACTGAATAATATTACTTATATTCAGTACTATTATTAATATTTTCGTGCGTAAAATATCTCATTTTAGTGGAGTTTTTTCTCTCTAATAAAAATTTATATTTTCACAATTTGGTTAATACTATAAAATATCGATTAAGTTCACATCTGTTAGTTGTAACGATATAAACGCCCCTTCGTAATTTAAACATACCGCAGTTATTAAATACTTGACATAAGATAAACTAGGTAGTTAATCAATTTTATTTTAACGTTCATATTTTTGTCATACTGTTCATGTGCAATTAATATTCATATTATTTTAGATTAAATTTGCTTGTGTTAATTATTAACATTTTGATATTTGATAGTTACAATAATTTTACAAATCTTAATGCAATATAACATAATATAATATATTGAATTATTTTGTAGTAAAATCGTATTAACTTACTTGATGCATACACAAGCTTATTGAACGTTTTAATGTTTGACAATTCAATAATCACACCTTAAAAAACTTAACGTTTTTATACTTGTGGGATGAACCTGTTCATACTACAAACTTCGATTTAAACACACCTAGATGTATCCTTTTTTTTTTTTGATGCACGTTTATAATATGTTCATAAACAATAATATAGGATATAAACGTTACCTATTTATGGTATCGTTCAATTTGTATATTATATACATTTATTATTTCATTATAAACTCTTTTTTATCAGCGATAATATTCGACTTGATAATAATTGTAGTACGTTAATAATATAGACTTCCATTAAAAATACTATATAATTAAATATAGGGGCTAACAATATACACGCTTGTTTGACTTAATATAGAATAATCGCTTAAAAAAAAAGTATCCAAACCATGATTATTGGTATACAAAATAGATAGTTTGTACCGAATTTTTAAGACAGACTCGCTTGTCCGACTTTCAAATTATATTGAAAGCATCTAAAATACTTTTATCTTGAAGTATAATAATTTATCGACTTATAATTATTATAAAATCATGTACAATTAACTCGTTTTTTTCAACTTTTGACAAATAAAAATGAAACATTTTTTACTTTTATAGGTACCTTACGCAAAAATGCATGTTTTCCGACATTAATAGTACCATTGTGAATACCATATCATGTTGTATTTATAATGTATTTTTATGTGATTCCCCAGAGAAATGATATACGGTCAACAATGACCTCATTCGGACCAACAACTGTGCAGTTTATATAGGTATCGATCCTATTACCATTTTTTTCGCTACTCATGCTTAACCAAAAATAAAAATCCTCTTTTTTCTCGTACATAGTTTTCGTTGTATATACGGCAGGTATAGGCAAACACAATAGGTATACATGTGTTTGTGTTCATGTGCGCGAAGAGTAGGTATAGTAGGTATTATGTTCATTATTGCATGCTGTTGTAATATTGTGTAGGTGCAAAAAAAAATACTTCAATTTTTTTAATATTGTTAAGATCATTTTCTAACAAACGCAGTGCCTGGTGTACCTACAGCGATTTGCGGTTTATAATAATATAAATATATCTGTATAACACGTCATGTTTTTAGTGCATAGCAAAATTACGCTCTATATACTTTATTACGCCGTCACTTCTAGGTTAACATAATTTATACATATATATGTATATATAATAATATAATAGAATTGATATTTCACCGAACTTAAAATTCAAAAAGAAACCATTTTTTATTTTTTTTATTTTTTCTATGTCTTGATTTGATTTTTCGATCGTTACATTTTATGGATTTGGTATAATTTTTAATAACTATCTATTATATCCGCCTATTGGGTACTTATTATTGTTATATTTTATCTACATTGTACAAATTCGATTTTATTTATTTAACGTTTCTCGTTGTAAAGTTATAGAATGCTATATAATTATTAATGCGGACCCGGTCAAAACTTAAATATTATATCGTTGCCTTTTTAAAATTGCATAACAGGTTTGTACGTGTATAAAACTAAATGTTAACCTAGAAATTTAATTTGGTAAAGAGTGTGTAATATTGTGTTCCTTTTTATTTTTAATTTGTGTGCGATAGACAGTAACGACAGCATTATTATTATTATTACTTTCTTCTGAATTAAATTAATCTTGCAAAGCATTAAACATTTTAAATCGTAAATAAGTTATTATTATGTCCGTAAGAAAAAAAAAATGTATAAAAAGTTTTAAATACGCCGGTTAATCGTATAGAATATTATTGTAGTATAATTCAAATGCGAAATAATATTATTTTAATTTATGTTGTACAAATTAATGACTTTCTCTACGACCATTGTAAGCCAAAGCCTGTATAGCCAAACCGTTAAATCAATGTAAATTTCTCGTCATATTATGCTTATGGAAATTTTACAATTTTTGATCTCAATGCAACTTTTTTAGATCAATATAATGTCTTATTTATTATAAGGGTAAATTTATTTAGATAACGGGAGTGGCTAAAATGGATTATTCTAAGGAGATTATTGTGTTTAATTTACAAGTATCGATTTAGCCTACCAAAAGCAATTTCAGCTGAAATTTCAAATATTTATTTTAAAATTTGTTGTACGTATTATTATTATTTTATTTTTTTTATACGCAATAGGATTTTTTACATTTTTGTTCACTCAAAAACTATCTGATTATCATTTCTTATCATTTGAGACACTGATGTATAAAGTTAATCTGTGTGAAGTAACCCCCGGTAATAAGAATAAAATAAAAACCTGTTGCGAAACCAATACGTATTTATCAATCCATCCTAAACCTAAAATGTTAAATAAAAAAAAAAACATGTCTGCTGAATAATGTTTTATTATTGGACTTCGCTACTAAGGTAGATTTATGGGAGGATAAACACGTCAGCTGTATAGTACTAAACGGTATATTTTACTTAGAAACTGTTTTGAGTGAATTTCAGATTATGTTTACGGACATTTACATTTTTTTTAATTTTGTTGAGTGGTGTGGTAAATCGGTACTACGGCTGCCGTTCATCAATAGACAGTTAAAAAAAATATATTACCTATTATAAAATAGATTTTATTGGCATCAAGTTAACTGATACTGCTGGCCGGTGTGCCACCGTTGTAGTACAACAAAATACATTAATTGTTAATATGAAATTTTGGACTGTTAAGTACGACTACTCTGTGATCATTTAAGAAAATCGAAAATAACGCATACATATTCCCATATAATCCCAATTATTTTAAATATTACCTCAATGCCTCAATTAGACAAAAATTGCAACGCTTCATAACAGCAAGATTTCTAGTAAAAATATCTGTTGCAATGTTAACAGACACAAAAAAAACCGACACATAGTAATATCAATACATTCCTCATTGCGCTTAGAATCTAAAATATTCAATTATAATATGTACTCATCTTATTGTCTATAGCTATTCATCAGTGCTATTCAACGAAAACTTGTACATTTTTTATGTAACAAGTTATTATATAATATAATATATTAACTTCGATCAATATTTGAATAATTTTTGTTAGGAATTTGGGGTATTTTCTATATTTATTTTTTTCGATGGACTGACCACATGAGACCTTTTGCAAGCTTCTACCAAGCACCTACATCTTAAAATAAACCAGTACATTTTCTATTTCCATTGACTCGTCAATATCTGAGATATTTTCTTACCTTATTTCTAACCACAAGGTGGCATCTTCCTCTTGGTCGCTTTTTTGTTAAGTTTTTGAGAGATTTCCATCAACGCGTCAAACATGGCATGGTCAGCTCATTCCCAATTGTTTTGTATGGTTGTACCATTATAAACATTCAGATATTTTGTTTGTTGTACAAATGTACAACCTTTCTAGTTCAGCATTTTTCGTCTTTTCTATACTTTTCGTTAATAAAATACAAAACTTTCTCAAACTTCTCAAACAAATATTATTTTATTTATTTATTAGTCTTTATATTACGAGTCCTTATATATATACACTCGTTTACTATGTCGTATATAGATAGGTAATATTTTTATTATTAATTCCACATGATGACGTGTCCATTAAAAGTGCAGGAGTTTCTACGGAGAATTTTTTCGCCTACTAGAGTGAAAAGCACAACATGCGAGTAATAGCCAAAAAAAAAATGGAAGGCATTAATATTATAATTAATATAATAAATAAATAAACTTAAAAGTGTTACGTTCAGCACTATATTTTGTAAATATAAAAATATGGCAAATGTAAAATTTACAAATTGAAAAAAAAAATATAGTAATTTTTAGTTTATTTAACTGGAAATATAATCATATGCTTAATACCATAGGTACTATATTACAAATAGATTCTCTTTTGAAGTGGAACATAATAACATAATATAATGTTAATTTTTTATTCACAAGAGTAGTATACCGATGACATTACCGATCATAACATTAAAGCCGCATATATTGCAATCTTCATTTAATAACTAATAACGATAATTTAGAGTCCAAAAAACACTCAAAATATTAAATGAATTGTATTGTCTAGGTTTAACTATTTAAAAAATATTATAATTTAGAATATACTTCAGAACAAATTATTGTCAATAGACAATTTATTTATTTTATACACATTTATATTTCTATAACACAGTTTCAAATAAAATAGTTGAGGCTATATAAAAAAAAATAATAATAATAAAAAGGAAGACTTTGAAATAATATTTTTTCCAAAACAATTCACTCAATTATCTTAAAATATAATTCTCATCTCTAAATTTAAGTTTATCATTTATTATTTTGTTTAAAATTTAGTATGTCATTCCTTAATTGTTAAATCTCATTCTGTTTACTCATCATAATTGTATTTATCATATGTTCAAGTATCTAATGTATTAATCATTAATTAACTGTACCTATACCCTCGGGCGTGTATTCAATAAATAAATAAAAAACAAATTATTATTAGAATATCATTTAAGATAATCAAAACAATTTGTAGTAACTAATAGCTAAACAAACGTTTTTATAGTATATAAAAATACGTTGAGTAACAAATCTAGAAATATAGAAGTTTTAATATTAAGACATCGCGTTATATCGTGATGTCTCATCAATGAATTATCCATCTTTAAACATAATATTATTTTTTGCACGATATCATTCAAAGTATTACCTATATACTCGTATTAGTATACGAGTATACTACAGTTGTATATTTTATATGACTTTAGATACCTTTTTTGCCTCCATTATTGTAATATTTTCATCTGTTAACTATTTTATTATTTCAATATTCAATTTTCCCAACTTTAAAAAAAAATGTCATCATTTATTACGTATTTTTAATTTTTTTTTTTTGATACGATGGTTTATTTAATCAGCTGCAACAGTTTTTTTTTTTATCGGGTTTACGTTTTTAAGTCAGCGTTTGCATACAGTGGAAAATTCTATGCTTTCGGTTTGATCAGGTGTTACGAAGCGTATTCGAGGTCGGTCAAGTTAGTGTCATAAATTACATAATGTTTAACGCACGGTGAATAATAAAATAATTGTTTAAATGGTAATTTCCTAACGGCCATGTAGACTCGATTATTTTGTTTTCAACTGAAACGTATTTATTTATACATTATTATTATATTAAAAAATAATATATTATTAGATACAGATAGTATATAATAATGTTTAAACTACAATCCGTTACTTTTGTAATCTTGGAGGAAATATAGCACAGAACAATGCAATATTCGATAAATTCTAATAAAATATAAAAAAAATTTTCGTTTTTTTTTTTAAATAAATTCATTTTCTTGATACATTGTTTTTAGAGTAAGTAATTGTTAAAAAATTCACTTTTTAAGTAGATATTAATGATAAAAACGTGAATATACACTAAGGAAAATGAATAGAAAGCTATTTACGACCATACGAGGGCTACTCGTTAAAAGGTCAAGTTTTTTAAACGATGCAGTTGCCGCATCTTGAGTTTCTTTGATTTTTTTTTATATAATTTCTTATTATTTTTAGTTAGTAATCAAATGTTTTATTAAGTATTCATTATGTTATCTCATTATTAAGACAATTTCCGGCCGCCATTTATAAAAGTTATTTTTGTCTCTTGTAAGAAAAATGAACCATCAGCCGTTTGTGCTCGGCATTTTCTTTTGATACTCGAGGGGTCGTTCAGTGTTATAGCTGTCAGATTGGATCATAAATCGTATTTACGAGTATATTGTTATATCGTTATTTTCAAATTTTTAATTGAAACGTTTTCTTTTAGTTTTTCACTCTAATTTTTCTGCAGTGCATCGAAGTAAATTATATTATACTTAAAAAATTCTGTATTACATAAGATTTATACTAAAAAGCTACCTCTTATCATAATGAGTGAAGTATAAATTATAAAAAACACATAGGTACTCTAAAAAATATATTTTATAAACCCAACCTAGCCTTTTAGAACTCAACAATTGCTAAACCTTGCTATAACTTAATTTTAATTTTATACAATATAAAATATTATATAGCCACTTTAAAGTTTAGAATATTATTTTGATAATTTCTATTTGATTTGAATACAGTATTATTATTATATTTACACTATTTTATTGATTTGACATAGTATTATCGATCTTAAATTTAAAAAAAAGTGCGATTAAATCTTCAATAATTGTATATCAACATTTCTTAGATTCCTATAAATTATAATAAACTATATTTTATCATTTTATTAGTAATTACATATTATATATTATAAACACAAACTTTATATTATCTTTGTTTAAATATATATTTTTATTTTTTGCAATTTTAAAATATTTCTATAAAATTGGTAGGTCTTTGTGCGAAATTTTTAATAATATTAATGAGTTTTAGGTATTCTTTATTAATGATTTATTTGCAAATTATACGGATTTATTATTCATTCATTAAATCGACGTCCTCGCAAGTTATATACTATTTATAATTGTCACAGAAAATACATTATTATACGTACACCGCGTCGTCACAATATTATACTGAATACAATTATTAGTTATTATTTTTCAGCTAAACAAATTTCCATTCATTGTAATTATAAAACGATTCAATTACTTCTGCTGTAAAAAAAATATTTTACCTGTAAATTATTTTATATTTTAGTGTAAACAACAGCTGTTCTTTATATAGGGAAACTGTAAATGTTTATGTTAAGTGGGTATATTATACATATTCAATATTTTAACAATTATTCAAAAATATATTATAAGCGGCCTTATTCTGGTTGATATTTGAAAATTCGGTAGGTATAATCATTTCAATGTTACAGAAATAAGACTGCAGGTTTGGATAGTAACGAACTTAAAATCCTATAAAATAATGGTTAACTCTGATCCTAACATTTTAATTCACATTATTAAAATAATTTTCTATTTACACCGAATGTGAAAAGATTATTTTTGAAACAATTATTAAGTAGTTATATATGCATGTTAAAAACTTTTATACGTTACATTATTATTAACTACCTACATGTAATAAATTATTATACTATCCAGTAGGTTAGAACAACCAGCTAACCATATATTAAAATACAATTTATGTCTACTTCTGCAGTAAGTTATAAGCGATAAAAGCACACGGGGTCGCTGCATTATGGTCTGTGTATATTCATGATGGCGCCCAAAATTGTTCAATATACATATACTTTAATTTACGTGAAAAACACGTTTACATTTATTTTTTTTTTTTTTTTTTTTTTTTTTTTTTTTTTTTTTTTTATTTATTTATTATTATTATTTATTTAATTCATAGAGTACATAATATAAACCACCATGATTAAATTTGGTGTGATTTTTTAATTATATATTTGTGAAGGGATCCAATTATATTGTATCTTGAGACCCTATTTTTCTAATTGCATAACCTGCGGATGAAGTATATACACGCATATGGCTGAAATACAGTTAACCATACATTTTTTTTAACGAGTTCTGGAATCTACTCTTGCAATTTTTTAGGAAAACTGTATTCAAAAATATATCCTACTATATAGATCGATTCGTATTCAGTTTAACATAAAGTTTTACTAAATAATAATTTTAAAACATGTGCTAAAAATTTTTTTTTAGTAAAAAAACACATAACTTTAAAATTTCCTTCATCATACTCTGAATTTAATAAGTGAAAACGAGATATGAAGACTGGTAGTCCGGTGATACGGAAACCGGTAGTAGGCACTCTTCTTAATTTGTTCTCCTTATTATATTACTAAACAATTATCTTAAATTTGAACAAAAATTATACAAATCACAGCATTTCAAAACACGTTTAACCAAAATTCGGTCAGAATTATTTTTCACTAACAATGATTTATCGTTGCATACCGATACATTAACTAAATTACTCTCTAATTTATACATACGAAATAATGTATTTTACTATATTAAACTGTATTTCTAATTTACTTTCAATAGGGTCGTGAGAGTTAAAAATATTTTTAACGGTCAATAAAAATGATCGATTAGTTTTTTAAGAAATATTTTAAACACAAATAATAATCGGTCTTCAATGTTCATTTAATTACTTTACATTATATTAGACAAAGTTTGTATACATTAGAAGTAATCTCATCATATATTTTGAAAACAGTGACGTCTAAATAATTTGATATGTTATACTAAAACGTTTGTTTACACCACATTATTAATATTAATAGTATGTTTCACTCAAAACAATTTTATTTTGTCGACGCGTCAAAATTGATTTTTTTTTTTCTATTATATTACTACTTAGAAATAATTAATTATTTAATGGATTTTAACTATATTTGATTAATATGTATTATTGATTTTTACACCTGTATATGATATCGTGTGTATTTATTTATAAACAAACATTGTTATAATGTATATAAGTGTATTGTTTCTTAATGTGTGCTCTTAAGTCTCGTAATTCATAAGAATAAAGCATTTTAAATTGTTCACTGCCTTTTAGAAAATTAATATAAAACTACACCAAACTAATGTCCCTAAAATGTTTTTTCTTCTAATTTACAAAGATTTAAATTAAAAAAGTTACAATGTTATTTGTTTTTAAAATAACGCTCTTCCAGTAAATTTATTTTTGTTATAGTATTAAAAACACACATTAAAGTCTTTTTATCAGTAAAATTAACATTAAAAGATATAGTGCTGTATCTAACAAAATAATTATATAATATGTTAAATTATGTAAGAAAAAGTTACTTTTAAAATTAAAAAAAGGAACTGGTTGTATAATATATTTATATTTTCAAATTATTTTTGGACTAGGTATGTAATTACCTAGTTATTACAAAAAAAAAAAACAACAAATTTTACGTTTTTATTAAGAAATCTCTGTATCTACACAAATATTATTAAAATTCAATTTATTTTGATTACTTATGAATATTTACGGATTTATAACTGTGGAAAAAAATACGTAATTTAGTAAATCAATTCACGCAATTTTATATGGACTATGTAGGTATTAACCCTAAAATAATTACCAAACTGATTTGCCTATGTATAATAGTAAATATAATAATATATCGGTTCAAATTCATCGTATGTTTTGAATAAAGCGCGATTGCCCATCAAAATATTGACTAAACATATTTTCTTACTAGCATGCATTTAGACCAGTAAAAAAAAAAATAATAAAATGAAAAAACCATATGTATGCACGTTATATTATATAATGCGGTCATGTATCTTTTGATCTTTATTCATGATTGTCACTACTGTTGTATAATAATAATAATAATAATAAAAATAATCATCACTTTTACTTAAACAAATAATACGAGTACAATAAATTTATATATTATATTACTGCAATGTTTTTAAAATTAGATAATGTCAACTTTTCGTTCAGTTGAACCGATTTTTTGCAGTTAGTTAAAGTGAATTGGCCTGTTATCAAACTTAAATATACAACCAATGCCTATGCTTGTACTTAAGTTTTTTTTCAATATTTTAATTTTTAGTGGATTGAAATATTAAGATTTAAAAACCATCGTATTTCTCCTAAACATTAAAATATCGATAAAAATCAACGCACACAAATAAAGACCTAATCTTTAGGTTTGATGGTTAAATTGCCAATTCACTCTTATATTTAAATTGATAGCACAAAATCGTGATTCTATTCTTCCGCCAAACGAAAATTTGACATCAATTATCCAATCGTCAACATTAGCCGTAAAATAATGTAATATACCTATGACACTGCTGTTATGAAATATTCTCATTGACGTGTTTTTTTTTTTATATATATACAGATTTTGATAAATCGTAACAATGTCTTCCACAAATCCGACCGACTGTCCGGTTAAACTACACTACTACCGACGTCCCGACGTCTTGGCCGTACGGCCCAGACGATCGCGATGAGCCCACCCGTTCATTCGGCTGATATGTTGGTATCGTCACAGACGATCGCCACAGATTTTATAAACAACAACAACAACGACGACGACGAAGGTCATTGTAAAAAGCTGCCACTGACCACCGAAGAACTGGCGCTGTTAGCGAAACTCGAGGAAGCCAATAGGTGAGTTCTACACCCACCTACATAATAATATAATATGAGTCATTATATTATTATTATGACGTGTTGTAGTACAACGTACAGTCATCGCTGAAGTGATACCTATAAGTGAAACTAAATTTGTTTTATGTATTATCAGCTGTTGTTATACGCGCGACGGGGATTTGCGGAGACAGGTCGTTTTTATTATTGTTATTATTATTATTATTCTGTACCGAAACACCTTTTTTTTTTTTCAATCCGATTATACTAAGAGTACGCTATACACGCTATACAGTATGTATTTGTTGTCTTCGTATTGCGTATACGCGCGACATACCAGATTTGCGTTCGACAGAACCAATTTATTGTGATGCTGTTGTAAGATTATAGAGTGAATCGACCCATGAGTATTATCAAATGTTTAATGTGGAGAACGATGTATATGATTGTACGTTGGTTTTTTCGTTATTTCAATTTTTAAGCGAAATATGAATACGTGAAATATCACGATATTTGTTAAAATATTTATACATCATTTGAAAATTAAAATGTCGAAAAAAAACCACCGTACGAACGTATAGATATTTCTCTTAAAGTTTGATAATAAGCTGGATTTGCTCTAATGTTAAAACTAACAGCACAAAAGTTGGTAATGCAATGAACTCAAATTTGCTTTGTCGTCCGTTTGTAGGGCAACAAAAGCATGACGTGTGGCGTCCTTTTCAACGATATATAGACACTATAGATAGGTATATGTTATAGTATTATTTAATATAATATAAAGATTCCGTTCATTGAATTTCCGGTCGTGCGTACCCTTTCGGTAGAGATATTCCTCCTTTCGTTTCTTCCCGTTTTTCAAAATCAATCGACGATCGTGAAAAACAACGAAGAAAGAAAAAAACGACGACAGTGAATTCAAATAGGTTTTCAGAAATCCTCGTATCGGATAAATATATACATAGGTCATACAGTAGTATTGAAAATGGGTCTATGCAACGGTATATATGTATAAAATAACGCGTATTTGTGATTTTTTTTTTTTTCTGTTTTTTACTCTGCGATATTGCGTGCGTGTTATTTCAGTGTTTACGACGGCACTAGAGGATCGCACACACTAATGAAGCAATGAATTACAACGATATTGTTATTTATTTTACAGTGCGTCGTTATTGGCACGCACGCACTTTACTTGTAAAATGATTTTACCCCTTTACTCCCCCAAATACCTGCGCACTGCTTGTAAACTCCTCGAGTCGCAGAGACTATATTTTTTTTTCTGATATTGGCTCCGCGGTATGTAATAATAATACAATATAATCCATAGAGGTAATCGCCGAGTCCGAAGCCAAAGTGCCCGTTTTCTGGCTCAGGATCGGTGGCGCACAGAGGAAATTTGTGAGCACGTTGCCGATGCGTTTGATAAAAGTATCCATTCACTTAGTCATTTTTTTGCTAAAGTTTTCAAGTTTACACGGGGCACCAGCACACCAGTAATCTATACCCGCGTACAGTTGCATTACTCGGCGCACCGCCGCTTGGCAGTTTAAACACATAAATTATTGGCATTTCTGCTTTTTCGTTTTTACAATATGTCAATTTATTTACGTAACCAGTCGTCGAGTCGTTTAAAATATAATTTGTCTGTATACCTATATGTGTCAAAGCTACCAATACACTTGGCAAATATATTCTCCTTCATTTTCAACCGTAATTCGTGCACATCATAATATGATATATTTTCGATTTATATAAAATTTTAATGTGGAAATATAAAACTAAAAATCATAGTGAAATTATAAAATATTCCTGTAACCGTATGCTAAATATTAGGTAATTTATGTAATCTTAATATAATATAATAAATATTATATATTTTTTTTTTTTAATAATTGACTATATAAAAATAAGACTGCATGTAAAGAAATGTTTACAGGATGTAGTATAATTGTAAATAATATAACTTTTGATTAAGTCCCCTTTGGTTTTTCTTTTTTTAATCATGAAAACCTAGAAATTTGAAAACAATGCGGATATATAAATTAGGTTCCTATTATCAACAATAGTTCGTGTTTTATTTTATCACTATGTAGAATGTATTACTTGGACTGCAGTATTTTGTTATTGCCACAAAAAAGTATTTTCTGAAATAAAAAAAAAAAAAAACGTATCGTAATAAAACAATGGCTCCATATCACTCTCCTGGGGTTCTAAAATACACCTGGGAACGCCTCCTTCTTAAATGTGCCATTGATCCAATGTAAATCGCTAATGTATTTAGACATGTAGTATGTTATATACCTATACTATACTATACATTATGCATAATGCATGTCCTTAAAATAATGTTACATCTCGATTACATTTTAAGTATAATACAACCGTGTACACAAAAGGGAATTCGTACGTTTTACAAAAACAATATATTATCTTCAATTTAACACGTTATGACAGTTAATGTGTACTTGCTCCAGATATTCTATGAATGATGGATGTAGGATATTTGGATAGGAAGTTGAATATAAATTACGTGTTTTAAAGAGGTAATCCTTCGACTTTCTCGGTAGTATAAAAACGATGTTGAAAACCGTGGAAAATCAATGAAAAGACGTACCTATCATAAATATAATACGCATTTAAATTTGTATTCTGACCTATGCTTATTAGAATAGGTTTTTCGAATAGGTAGGAACCTACCATCAAATTGTCGCGATCGCATTTAAATTAATAATAATGTATCTACCACTGTCTACGCCGAGGTCACCGAACCGAGACAAGATTTTAACATCCATTTTCTGTATCTTGTCCGTTACTTTTATTTCCAATAAGAATATATTACTATATAATGACAGTATTTGGCAGCTATTTAAAAAAGGAAACCATAAATTATAGATGCAGTTCACGGGTTCCTTGAAAGCAAGAGCCGTCTTTCAAACTCTCCCGATCGCCACTTCATGTTTAACTTGGCCTTCTCTCGAATAAAATATAATTAAATATATCCCTCTAAAATGTCATTTGACTAATAATACACTAGAAAAATACAAATATACTCGTAATATCAAACAGCTAAGAAACGAAATTACAACGGTATGTTTAAATGATGTCATCTTGTGTACCATCAAATAAAATTTAAAAATACCGTTATAAAATATTTTTAGAGTTCTAGTAAGGCACGAAGATTTAGGTAAATAATATTCGTAAAAGATAGTCCATCAAATTTTTAAGACAACAATAATTCTTAATAAAACAACTAATATTAGACTACATATTACATAAGTATCCCTATTGATTAAATATTGGGATGGTGCCTATACCATATCAATATTATTTACCTAAGGTACTATTGAAATTTTCCCCAATATTGTCATGATCGGTTTATTTACGCCATTCATTAATATAATATAATATACATATTTTTCATGGAAATTTTGAAAATTGTTTTTATTCTAAAACTAATGGTTATTAAATAATTAATATATTTCGTCTTAAATTATATTTTTGTATTTGTCACATTTTAAATTCAATAAAGTAGTTAACAGCTATATTATAGTATAAGGAGAATACAAATTTATTACCTATATTTAATAAAAATATGTATTATAATATAGTATATTCATTTTCTACTTTTATTATATATGAGTGCTATTCAAACGTTTATTTCTATTAGTAGGTATAATATAATATTATCTTTATACGATTTACCATAGAATTGAACGTCATCGCAACCTCATAAATAAATTATTTTTGAAAATACCACACTCCTATAATAGGTACGTACAAATCGAAATAATATTTAATGACAACAGAAAAATTTAACAAAATGTCTACGAAAATAGTTTCAAACTAACACATGTTTAATTTTTACTTATCTAATCCTATTGTATAATATAAATCATGTTCACACAGATCCTCCACTGATATCGCGGTTAAAACGGAAAAAAAAAACCATAGGTGTAACTTATATTGTTTTAACTATTGTAGGTAGGTAACTAACTATTTTAAACAGTCAATTTTCCTGACCACTCGAAATCGCAATTGTTAAATTATTTGGATTGTTCTTGTTTTTATACTGCACGTTGTTTATGATTTAATATCATTACATTTTATAATTCATTATTGTATGAGAATAAATTACACATATACAAGGTGTCTCACGAAAATACATACATTACAATATCTCCTGAGAAAATAAAGATAATCAAATTATGTTATTTTTTATATACATTACTCGCAAGTATATAAGGATTACAAATATTTACATTTCAATTAATTTTGTATGTTTTGGTAAAAACTTTAAAAAATTACTTTTTATTTTTATTATTTATGAAATAAATTGAAGATAGCCATTTTCTAGGGTTTATTCTTTTGAAAACGTTGACACTTCAACTTTATATTTTTATTAAATTCGTGATTTTTAATCATTTTTAAAGTTCGAAAAACGTATCTATGGTTATGCAGCAGGGCTATAAAGCGCATTCGCTAATTGATTACTATTATTGCAGCACTAATATTGACTGTACACATTTTTTCTCTGAACTTCAAAAAAAAAAAAAAAAATGATTAAAAATCACGAATTTGATGGAAATCAAAAAAAAGTTGATACGTCAACATTTTCAACAAAATAAACTTTTACATTTTCAAAAATATTCAAATGAAAAGTTATTTTTTAAAAAAAAAAAAAAAAAATTTGATCATCTTTATTAATATCTCCGGAGATATTACAATGGGTATATTATCTTCGTGGGACACTCTGTATGGTATGTGTAACGTGTTAATTGAATGTCGCTTACACTGGCGCGGTACTCATGAATCTGACGTGAATTATAGTGATCCCGTGTCAATTGCACAACCCATTTATATTAATTTATTGTCGCGCGCATATTATTTTGTACGTGTATAATATCCCCGATGTCATATCAGAATCCCGCCGACGACTTTTACCGACCACCAAGTTTGACGGTATCGATCTGATTCACGTGACTGCGTACGGCATTTTACGAGAAACGTTATTAAATATTGATAGCTCTAACAATAATAACAATTTTAACAACGTTTTCGATTATCTTAACGTTTTCTAATTATTTGTACTGAGTAGTGGATACTAACACTGACATTGAACGTTAGAAAAACATAGACGTTGTCGTTGTGTTTTATACACTGTTATTACGATACTAACTACAGCACGACATAATGTTGCCATAATGTTTACGATTCTAAAAATCCCTCTGCGATGTATCCTGATAATAATAATAATAATAATTAAAATTAATTTGAAATAATCGCGTTTGATTCGTGGCCATATACACTAAATCAAAATCGAATAAAATATACGTCCAAAACACACCACGCTATAAATTATTAATTAATTATAATAAGTCGCTAATTTACGTGTGTTTTTCCTGTAAAAAAAAAAAAAAAATATTTATAATAATAATAATACTAATTATTAATTAACTAATTAACTAATTATTATCCGTTTAATATAGTACAAAATAAATAATTCTGGGGATATTATATTGCCGATGTATTATAATATTCAGTTATGTATAATAGGCACGTCAGGCGTATGTATGCTCAATCAAAAATAAATCATTGAACCATTTAATTTTAAAAATTTAATTTCGGTTGTGTTCGCCGATGGTGGTTATACATTTATAATTCGATTTTGTATTAAAATAATAAATGCCGATTAGATTATATCCCGTTTATTAAATAAAGAGTCGCATAACGCGATAGTAATATGTCGATTGTAGAACAGTCGATCGCGATCGCATAGTTCATACGCGCGTAGTCGAAATATATGATGCATTAGCGATGTATGAAAAATAAATAAATCGTATCAAATATTTTACAGTGTTAATTTTATTAGTTCAAAAATTTATATTTTTTTTTTTTTTTCTAAATGACTATTTTTTATATTCCTAGGCTCATCGAGTCGGATTCAAAATCGCTCAATTCCATATCCAACAATAGCACACATTCCAGAAAAAGCTCCGATGCATCCCAAATCTCTCTTGTATCTGGTAAGTACTGTCGATAATATTATTAATTTGTTTAAGTGTAACTATGTAAAATGTTTAATAAATTATCCAAAATATGTTTAATAATATTTATGATAATTATCTAATTATAGAAGTCTGTTCTTTTATACACTAGTATATTATTATGTACTTCAAACAGCTAGGATCAAAATTTTCAGTTTTTAGGACTAAAAATTATAAAATACTATTATAAATTTTATTATTAGTAAGGAAAAAAAAATTCCTGATTACACAGACTTTTTTCTTTTCTTTTTTATAATAAAATATGTTTACAGTTTTACATTCCAGCTTATATAATATTATAAGTAATCAAATGTATATTACAAAAAAATAAAACTTCACTACTAATCAAACCATCTATTTCAAGGACAGCTTGATACTATACAGTCTGTATAATTTAATAACATATTTGTATGGATTTAAAACAAATTAAAAATAACTAGGTACATATTGTTACAGTAATTCAAATATTACAAAACAATATTGTATGATAATTAAATGTATGAATCCCCAAAAAATAATTTCTTACATCTTCTTTTATTTGCAATATTATTAAAAATTACTAAAATGTATAGTACATAACGTACAATACTAAAATAACTAATAAAACACAGAACAGATGATTAGTCATCAAATTAAATTAAACAACTTTAATTATATAAATTGTTAATTGTTATAAAATATGATTTCCCACTTCTAATTAAATAATTATTAAATCATTTTTATATATCATATTAATCGAATCCAAACGAAACCATGATGTTTCTAAAATATTATATTATAATGCCTATTTTAAACTTAAAAAATATTTATACAAGTTAAAAATAGATTTGTTTATCACTAAAAGTTAGTTATTAAGTAGTTAATATAACATAAAAATTGACAATACAAACATATATAAAAATAATAATAATTTACAGTTATTGATGTTATATTAATTTTTTTTTTACTATATTTTTAAAAATATTTAAATTTTTTAGATTCTGAGCATAGTAAAAAATGTACTGGTTTTACTATGATATTTTTTTATTTATTATTATTTTTTGTGTGTGCGTCTATGTCTGTAAACAACTTTTTTACCAGAAATCTTACTCTAATCAAAAAATAATAAAAGAAAAGGTCTATCGTTACACTTTGAATTCAATTGGTGAGTAAATATTAATTTTTTTAATTTTCAAATACAGTTTCCTGAATAATTGGAAAATAAACGTAGAAAGAAATAAAAAATGTATGGAAATAATATTTTCATTATTTTCAATTTTGTATTTTTGTTATGAATCAGTTAAAAATATTCTTATTTTTTTTGCTATTTATAAGGTATTTTATATTTTGAATTTGTTTTTAGTTTTTCTTGTTTGATACTATATAGGAAAAATTGTTTGATAAATAGAAATGCTTGAATATTTAATACGAGGCTCAATAGAAGTTGTACCTAATTATACAAGGTGTCCCACGAAGATATATCCATTGAAATATTTCTTGAGATGACAAAAATAATCAAATTCTGTTGTTTTTTTTTTTATATTACATGTAGGGATAAAGACTACTAATATTTATATTTCAATTAATTTTTTATGTTTTGGTAAAAATAAACTAAAGAAATAACTTAAATTGTATTATTTTTTAAAAATTTGAATGTAGCTATTTTATAGAATTTATTCTTCTGAAAATTTTGAAGTTTCAATTTTTTAGTTTCACTAAAATTGTCATTTTTAATAATATTTTCTATGATTATGCAACAGGCTGTAATCACATTCGCTAATTGATTATTATTCTTGTAGCTAATTGACTGTACACTTTTTTTCTATTAACTTTAAAAATGTATTAAGAATTTACAAATTTAATAAAAATAAAAAGTTTGTACGTCAATATTTTCAGAAAAATTAACTATAAAATGCCTATTTTTATCATTAGTAATGGTTTATCATTGATTACAGGTATAAATTAAATAACTATATATCTCAACTAAAAAAATGGCCATACCCATTACCAGTATTAGCTCTTTTTTTAAACTTTAGTGTTATTATCCAAGAAAAACATTAGATGTACAAAATAATTGTATTATTATTAAAAAAATAATTTATTAAAATAAACCTTTTAAAGTATTAATAAATAAATAAAATTAAAATATCTGTTGATAAAACATAAGTTTTTTATTTTGTGCAATTATAAATTGCATTCTTAGGTTAACCTTCCTTAATTTTTCATTTTCAAACAATTTTGATCATATATTTGGCAACAAAATAAAAAAGCTTATACTGCTGATGAGTGTACTACAGTTTTGTGAGATATTTGGAACAAAATACATAAGGAATAATTTAATTTTTACATACAATCTACACACGAAAATAAACTATTATACTGACAATTTCCATTTTTTTTTTCAATTTATTAAGAAAACTACAAGGATATCAATAAATGCTCTTCTCGATATAAAAACCAAATTAAAAATTTTATGTTCCTTAATGTTCCTATATATTATTAATTAGAGCAAAATTTTTAGTATAAAACTTGTTTATAGACACATAAAAAATCACATAGTAAAATAAATAAATTCCTTGCTTTGTTCAGAATCAAAAATAATAATACAAATATCAAATTTAATGTTTTGGTGATTACATTTTGATTCATGTTTTTTAATTTATGTACCTAAATGTTTTCTTTGTTTAATTTTTATGACATCTTTGTTAAATTAAGTTTTACTAATTTCAATCGTTTTTTCAAAGGTTTTATGTTAAAACCATAATGTTTTCAAGTCCTGATTTTAAATATCCATAACTTGATTGAATTTGGCCTTATCTACTATGGGTAGGTCCCTTGTAAGTATTTAAAGAAACTTATATAAATAAATGTATTAAAGTAATAAAAGACTAACATTACTAACATTATACTTACTGGGGATTATCATCATATACATTTATTCTTTCCCGAAAATCTTTAATTTTGAATGAAACAATTATAATTATTAACAAATTATTTTTTATATACTTTGTTTAATTTATCCCATAATCAGTCAAATTAACATGGTGAAGTATATTATATTATAAATACATTTATTTATACATATATATTTAAATATTACAAATTATAACATTATTTTGTTGAAAGCAATAAAACTACATTTTTTTTTTTATAATTTATCATCATGGTTATGAAATAAAATATGTTTCTAAGAATATTTGTATTTATTTTTTTAATACATCTACTAATTTAGTTACATAAAAATAAATCTAAATACAATTTAAAAAAATACCAATCAATATACTTAGTGAATAATTATACAAATTTACCATATCCAATTAGTTTATATTATATGTTACAATAAAATACAAATTCATTTATTATATGGTTCATATTTAATAAATATTATAAATATGTATTAAAACAAAAACACTAATCATTTTTTAAAACTCTAGGTTTTTATTCCATTTAAAATCTAACATAGGTAATAATTGTTTTGTTCATTTCATTGGAGCTCGCATGTATAGTTTATTAATGTCATCTAAATTTTAAATTAATCAATCTTTATCATTTAATTGTTCTTATTATAGTAATTATATTTTTTTTTTGTTTAGTATATAGACATATAATCTATTTTTTTCAATGGTGACATTCCTTTTCATCATATATTATTGTTATTTTAAACGTGATCTAGCTAGTAACAACAGAAATCTTAATATACAACATACAGTAACTTAATCAAATTGTATAAGACGCTAGTCTTCTATTCAATTTGAAAAATTCATATTAAAAAATAGCATGGCACCTCGTGAACCGTTTAGGTCGTTCAGACGAAAAAAATATATCAAAAATATCATTGCTATTTATGTTCGTGTTCATTCGAGAGGTGTTAGAAGTCTGTCTTTTGTACTTAAAAATTAATTTAATAATATATCTATTATTTATAGGTACAGGATCAAGTCAAGATGGTGAAGAAGATGTCTGGGGTCTTTGGGGACAAGTTGTTAATGAATGGGAAAATTACAGTAAGAAAAAAAATGCTTATCTCAAAGAATTGGTTAGAAAAGGAGTACCACACCATTTCCGAGGAATCGTTTGGCAGTTATTGTGTGGTGCCAACGATTCACCAATCAGAAAACAATATCCAGAGTACATCAAAGCAACATCGGCATGTGAAAAAGTAATATAACTTTCTTACAAAATAATAATACCTATATTAAGAATATCAACTAACAATTTATAATATGTAAGGTTATAAGAAGGGACATAGCTCGTACATATCCTGAACATGATTTCTTCAAAGAAAAAGATGGTCTTGGTCAAGAAAGTTTATTTAATGTCATGAAAGCATATTCGTTACATGATCGTGAGGTGGGCTATTGCCAAGGTTCAGGATTTATAGTTGGCTTATTATTAATGCAAATGCCCGAAGAAGAAGCATTTGCAGTTTTTGTAAAAGTTATGCAAGATTATAAAATGCGAGACATGTTCAAACCAACCATGGCTGAACTTGGTCTTTGCATGTATCAATTAGAAAATTTAGTCCAGGTATGATACAATATTTAGTAGTATAATATTTAAAAGTACCTAATTATAAATATTTTATTTTGTTTTTAGGATCACATTCCAGAACTTTTTGTACATTTCCAATCCCAAAGCTTCCATACTAGTATGTACGCGAGTAGTTGGTTTTTGACTTTGTTTACCACTGCATTAGCATTACCTACTGCTTGCAGGTATATTATTTTACAGTAAATTGATGAATTTATTTTTATAGTAATTCATTTTCTAGGATTATTGATGTTTTTCTATCTGAAGGAATAGAAATAATATTTAAAGTTGCGTTAGCATTACTTCAATTAGGTAAAGATGATCTCTTGTGTTTAGACATGGAAGGTATGCTAAGGGTGAGTAATTTAAAACTATTATATTAATTTTATATTTGATTGTGGTTAATTTATAAGTATTATACATATTGTTTTAGTTTTTCCAAAAAGAATTACCTTCTCGTGCTAATTCTGATACTGATGGATTAATGGCACAAGCGTTTAATATCAAGTACAATGTTAAACGTATGAAAAAATTAGAAAAAGAATATACAGCTATTAAAAGCAAGGAACAGGAAGAAATGATTGAACTCAAGGTGCCCAGATTAATATGTAGAATTCTATTACAGCTTCGCATGCCTTGTAAAGTTTGCTCATGCCAATACTAGCTTGCCAACATTTTACTAATGTAAAACTTCAGAGAAAGAAAAAAATATTTCTTTTATTTAAAATAACAGTTGTAATATCAAAATATATACCTTCAGATGTAACTTAATTTTTTACCAAAATATATTTTACTTTATTATACTGTTTTTAATTTTGATTTTAATATTATTTCCTTGCTCTATCGCTTGCACATTTTTCTTCTTTTTTTTACAAACAATTCATTATAACTATAAGTATATAAATTATTTATTGAGAATATTCTTACACTAGAAACTCCGTACAGAAAATCGTTTACTAAGACAAAAAGTTGAACTTCTTGAAGCTGAATCTAGCGAATTGGCTGGGTTGTTAGTAAGAGGTCAAGTGTCTCGTGCTGAAGAGGAAGAAACAACATTCATTGTACAAAGAGAATTAACAGCTTTACGACATACACATTTAGAAACTTCCCATGCCCTAGAAAATGCTTTAGACGAAATTAAACAAATGTCTATTTTAATAACAGAAAATGTAAGTTATTTGTTTTGCTCTTAAATACATCTTTTTAATACATCTATTTTTACAGCACAATTCATGTCAATCATCTCTAGATGAGCTTTCTATAAAACAAGAACAATTGTCACTTAAAGAAGAAATGATTAGTGACCTTCAAGAAGAATTGGTTAAAGTTAGATTAAGAGATGCTGAAAATGAAGCTACAATACGTGATCTTAAAGACAAGATTGGAGAATTAGAACATGTAAGTGTACCGTGATTATATTTAATAATAGAAAATTAAACAAATATAATGAGATACTTTTTATATATTGCCTACTTAGTACCTACTGTAACAATTTAGTATTGTATCTTGTATGTTTTTACATTGAATACTTTTAATTATTTTTATGTTACTATTTTAGAACACTTACCTAAATCTGTAATAGGACTTTTTGTCTGTATATTTGAAAAAATAATAATAATAGTATATTATTAAAGGACAAGAAAACTCTTCGAGAATCAGTTGTAGACAACTCTGTTGCTCACCTTCAAGAAGAACTGATTGCTGTCAAATTACGAGAAGCAGAAGCCAACTTATCTTTAAAAGATCTCAGACAAAGAGTGAATGAAATCAACACACAGTGGCAACGGCATTTGCAAGAAAAAAAAAGAATTGATCCGCCACCTGCACCTGATTCAACACCCAAAAAGATTGGTAACTTATTAAACTGGAACAACGCAGAAACCCAGAGACTTGAAGAAGATCTCATGACCTCCAAACTTCGAGAAATGGAGACATTAGCTGAGCTGAAAGAACTAAGATTAAAAGTATAAATCATAAAATATAACCCTAGTTTGATCATAAATATTATATTGTGATGATTGGTACTATTTATTTCAGTGATTTATATGTTTAAAAATTCCCCAAAAAAATAAAAAAACATATTTTTAGGGTATTTGTTATAATTATAAGTGTTTCAATTAAAAGGTCATGGAACTGGAAACCCAAGTTCAAGTTAGTGGAAACCAGTTAAGAAGACAAGATGAAGACAACAAGGCTGTTCATGAACAGCTAGAATTAGCGGAAACAAAACAAAGAGATCTAGTAGTTAAACTCAGAGAACAACAGAATAAGTATACAGACTTAGAATCTAAGGTATGATTTTTATAAAAGTATTTAAAATTCCTCCTTTTTTTTACAATAATTTATTAACATTTTATAGATGAAACATGACATGATTTCTTCGAGGATACGAGAGGCTGAACATGCTCAAATGGTTGCTGAATTAAACCAAAAAATTTCCCGATTAGAAGTTAAAGTTAGTCAATTTCCCATAGAATATCTTTAAATAAAATGTTTATAAATTATTTTGTTTACATTTAAGAATGAAGAGATGGTAACTGAAGGAGAACTCAGAAATAATTCTTTAGATGATAGTGATAAAGTTAAAGAACTTCAAGATAAAGTAGCTGATCTCAAAGCTGAAGTAAGTAGTCCAGTTCAAGATGACATATAAGTAAAATAAATTAAAAACTCATGATGGGCATTTCATTCTATCTATAAAACTTGCATTAACTTTACTAACAATTTACTGGTTAATAATAATTACTAACAGAATATTAACAATTGGATTTAATGGGCTGTTGTAAAATATTGGAATATTATCTGAAAAAATTAATTAATTTTATGTTTAATTTTCCAAAGAATAATTCAAATAAAGTAAGGTCTGTCTACCCATCTTTTTTTGTCCTTTAAACTCAATCAAATATAATTTCATTTGATATTAAACACTATAATTTTATATATATATAAAAATCAGCAGTTATTGTTTATTGGAACATATAAATCAACAATATAGATTATAAACAATTTTGTATTATTAAAACGTTACAGAAACCTTTGATACAGTTTAATATTATCCTTTTTCTCAAAAATAAAATAATATACCTATGCATTAACTATAATGAGAAGTCAACATTCCATAAAAGAAAAAAGATTTTGGTCTTCTTGTTAAATCTAAACATATGTCAATAAAACATATTTTTTTTCAAATTTTATATCAAAAGAAATATTAATCATATGCCCGTGCTTATACTATATTATAACACAATAACAGAAAATTAAATACACAATAAAAACGGTGTTATCATTATTCGAACATGAAATAGTTTGTACATTTAACGTTTTAAACTTAAAAAAGAAAATAAAGGATTTAAAAGGAAAATAAAAAATTGAATGATAAGGTCACTAAATGCTGATATTTTTATTACTTAGGTAACCAAATCAACTTAACAAAATTTATTTGCTTTGCTAATTGCTATCCCCAACGACATATAACAGACAAAATATTTGAATTCAGCATTTTTTTAAGTATATAAATTGATGTACAATAATTTATGTAGGTTTTGTGGAAATTAAAAAAATATGCTTCTACTCTCTAAATGGCACTAATTTTTAGAGAATTACAATTTTCATATTTTTATATTCTGAGTGGAGCGAAGAAGCTTATAGTTATACAAAGATATATACATATATACAGTGGAACCTCAATAACTCGAATCGGTTGGGGGCGAAAAAAAAATTTGAGTTATCGAAAATTCGACTTATGGAAAACATATACATATCACACACATATCATATATTGGAAGCCAGGGGCCAAGGTATTCCTTCGAGTTATCGAAAATTCTACTTATAGAGGTTCGAGTTATCGAGGTTCCGCTGTATTTTTTTTTTCATCTTTGCGCAACTTTTCTACCAGAAGACTTGTTCAGAATTCTACTTGTAGTATCTTTTCTGAAAGGAAATCGGCATGGGAAGTAACTTTAGGGAGATAATTTTTTGATTTTTTTTTCTAGAGTTTTCTCATCAAATTTGAAAAACTAAAAAAAAAAACACCATTAAAATATACAAAATGTATACTATAAAATATTAGAATGTTTTTTTCCTGTCCACAACTTTTCTACCAGCAATTTTAACAACTTTTAATGATAAAAATGTTTCTAAAAGAAGATTTCACTAGCAAGGTACTTTATAGTGGACATTTTTCGATTTTCCCAAGAGTTTTCCCAGCACATGTGAAAAACCGTGCAAAACAGAAAAAATGAAAAATCAGTACAACATTAAATAAATATTATTAAAAAAAATATATAAAGCCTATTTAATTATTTTGCTATAAAATGACATATATATATATATTGTTGACAAAGCATCACTATCAACTGAACTCTGCTCAGAATTGTTTTATTATAAAAAATGGTTTATTGTTGCCACTATTATACATTAAATAATCCATAATAATGCCTGCACTCATCCCCATTATCCTAGGACATCTTTTTTCTTTTACTTACACTATTAGACCTACCTTTATACAAAATTTCAAATGTATACCTTTACGATAAATGCCTTAAAATGTTAATAATGAGTGAGTAACAAAAATGCAAACTATGAAACCATCTCCTTTTAAAACGGCTTATATTAAGGGCTCAATTATTTAGTCTTAAGGTACTTAGCCTTAATCTATATTTCAAATTTCAAAAGTTCATCTTGAATGAAAGCAGAGCTATGAGGGTGAAAAAAACCAGGTGCATTGGTTTATGTAAAAATACGCTGGCATACTTACTGGAACTTGGCACAGATAATTTAGTATAATCAATGTTACCTATACATTTTCATCAAGTTGATGTGGTTGCCTATCTAATAAAAACGGGCACATTCTCTACTCTACCATATTTATATAAAAGTAAAACCAGTTAGTAATAAAATCAATTTAAATTAATGAAATGTTGTGGATTATATATATTACATATTATTATAAATTCATCTGTCATTTTCATTGCTTGTTTAATTAATAACACTATACAGCACGCTTATATTAACAAAAAAAAAAAAAACAATGGTTTCTAGCTGCTCTCACCGACCACGCCAGACGTCGAGCCATGGAAGTGGCTAGGCTGACACAGTGAGTTTGCACGTTTTTATTTATTTAACAATAAATCACTTGTTAATTCGCTTATTAATTTTAATAATTTACTGGACCTATTTGTCTAATAAATTTGTGTATACATGGTGGTATTTTAACATACCTTCTCATTATTTAAAAAAATATTTTAAATATTTGATTATATTGTACTTAATTTTTTTTTTCGATTCTTTATTATATTTATTTATTTATTTTATAATTTATACACCAAACGCCAGTTACAAAGGAGGTAGAAAACAAAACTAGTTAGTTAATATAAGAATACAAACAAAACAATATGTCTATTTACTCTAAACCCTTTGACACGTTTTCAAATAATTATCTTAGCGTCACAAAAAAATGATTTCAAAAATAACTTAAACTTTGTATATATTCTGAAATAATGAGTAGGTGCTTAAATAAAAATAAAAATCAATTTATTAATTTATGTAACATGTACTAATAGTTTTGTGAATTAGGTAATGCGCCTCGAGGCATGGAAACAACGGTGGGTTAACAACGGCAGTACTATGGCTAAGACTGAGAGATCTGGATCGGTAGATACAACAGAGAGTGAAATGGATGATTCTGCAGATCTTCATTTACGTTTATCTAGTTAAACTTGTTTCCTATTGTCTATTTCTAATTATATAATTATAACATTTTTTTTATTTATGATTCAAACATTATTTTCATTTAAGACGTATCCATTTTTATTATTTAATGGCTAAATATTTATTTTACCGTCCTATTTTTTTAATTCAAATTTTTATTTTTGTTTGATTTTTAAATATTTATTTCAAATGTATTCCCAAATTTTATTTTTATTTTAGTTACCCATTTTTTGTACTTATCTTAATATTTTTCTTTTTCAAAATGTATGAATCGTTAATCTTAACTATTTGAAAGTTTCTGCACAATCTTCAACGCACAAATAAATTATAGTGAAAAAATTGCTATATATATGTATATCATACATTTTTAAACATCAAACTCAGTCATCAATCTTCAGTTTAAGAAGAAAAACGTAAACAATTGCATAACTACTAAGCACAAAATTATAAAAAAAAAAAAAAATGTATTATCTATAAAAATAATTATTTTATATCTTAGTATTAATATTGTTTAACTTTTCAAGTATATTTTAATAATGATTAACGATTCAATATCAACTTTTACTGAAAAAGAAATCCTATTAGAAAACTTTATTATAATAATAATATTGTGATCATATTATATAAACAATTTATATTTGTACTACATTTTTTACAATTGAAAATTATAAAATTGAATTATAATTTAGTATCTAATTGTGTAAACACTTGAATAGCGTTGTATTTATAAATTATTTAATATGTTAAATTTATTTAATATTGTCAATGCTGACATCAAACATGATTTAAGCAATATTAATTATCAATATTTTAATAATAATTGATTAACATTTTTTTTTTCTTATATTGATACTTGTGACTCGTAAACAATTATATTATTATTTTATACATACATAATATAACACGATGATGGCGTATTTATGAATTTAAAATAAATATTTTGTGTATACGCAATATTGCAATAATAAGGTTGTTCTAAGTCTATATTATGTACTCGTACATCTTATGCAATAACTTGAAACTAATTTAAAAGATTGAACATTTTAGTGATAGTATTGTTTGATATATCAATATTTTGTTTAGTGTGTTACTCGTATTATGTAGCTATGAACGAAAATGTTATGATTTATTTGTGATTTTGTTTATTTTGTTTTATATATATATACAATATACATTCATATTAAAATGTGTATAATATTATTTATAATTGACAGCATTGACACAGGCTCATTTATAATAAAATTTATATGTAAATTAATACAAGATTCTAGTTTAATATTTTAGTACTTATTTCATCTATTCTAATAATACATTTTTTTAAAAAATATGCTAATTTTTTGTATCACTAAAATTAATAAATCAATATTTTATTTACTAAGAATTAAAAAAAGAGATAAAAGGCTATTTCTGGTGTACAGAATAGGTTGTAAACAGTGTCTAAAAATGTTCTATGTTTATCACCAAATTTTGTTTTTGTAATTATTTGAATTTTTCATAGATAATTTTATAACAATAAAATTATATTATATTTAACAAACCGATCCTAATAAGATCAAGGAATTTTTTCATTCCATAATATTTAGACTGTTGTTACATAATTTTTTTCGAAAACCACGGCCAATAAAAACATAAAAAAGTAATCAACGACTTATTGAATTTTTTATTGATAATCAAACCATGCTGCTTCTATTGAGTATTTTAATATGCTATCCTTATTCTGTAGGTACCACATAAACACATATCATAAAAAATGAATAAGTAACTTTGGTTAAAAGCTACACGTTTTACGTCCATTTTCCAAAAAAAATAGATACCTAGACAATGTGCCCTAAGTGTTATCTATATACTAATAAGTGACAATATTCATTTTTTTTACAATCAGATTTTTTGTCAAGGGGACACAAATATAGAGAAAAATTGAATTTGTATTATAATCCCATAATTACCAAAAAAAAAACTAACTTTAAAATTTTCAAAAAAGCCAATTTGTAAAATCTATTATTCTAAAAATTTTATAGTAATCTTCACGGCTGTAATTTGCTATCTGAGTCTTATTTTTCACATCTTTCTTTTATTCTATAAATATTAAAATGGTTATTACTAAGAAACTATTGATCGGATATGATAGTGTCCTCACACTCCTATCATATGCTTATTTTGCTTATATGTATCAATGGAGCTGATTTGAATTAGTATGGCAGCCACATTAGGTAGGTACTCATATTTAGGGTGGTGGTGGCAGTGCCACAATTTGTTTTATTTAATTAATAATAAATTATAAAATATATACATAGGGCTATAATAGTGTTATAATAAATATTACACTATTTTTGATGCTTTTTATTGATTTTATATACCTACCTAGTGCAATATGTTTTAAAATTCACTTCAGCATCACTAGAAGGTACACTTGGCTCCAATTCCTATGTAGATAGGTAAGTAGGTATTAGATTCCAAGAAGTTTTCATAATAGTTTGAGAAAAACCGAGAAAAATTTAAAAAATTAAGCTTCTATTATTTTCAATTTTACTATTTTGTTATAATTTAGTTTAAAATGTTTTGTAGAGACTTGAAATTTGGACCGAAAAGTTATATTTTCCATTTCTAGAAGTGATAAAATTTTTAAAACTAGCCATTTTTAAATTATTAATAGACATTTTAATTTTGTTTTTCTACGTAATTGTTATTCTATGGACCAAATTGACAGAACAAACAGAAATACTTGAACATTTAATAGGAGGTTAATTAGTGGTCAAAAATAAAAGTTGAGTGCAATATAGTATTTTTTTTTTTTTTTTTACAAAAGAGTTAAGTTTTAATTTCAAATTTTGACAAAAATTGTAAATACTATGGTCTTTTAAAACATGTATAACCGAATTCCACTCGGAATCGTTTATTGTTACTTACCAATATAAATTAAATAGCTTTATGTATCTCAATTTCCCACCTGTAATAGCGTGGCACACTCGTACCCAGTATCAGTTCTTTTTTCTTTGAGGTTGATAATTAATTTAAATTGTGTACAGTACAGGTTGTACATACCTTTTTTTTATTCCCCTAAAAAACCAATAATAGTGGAGGATCCGTTTTCACACTGCTGCTATGCCATCGTTTTTTTTTTATATATATATAATTAATGAATAAAAACCTGTTTTCTCCTTCGTGGGGCAGGTTTACATTAAACAATTATACAATACAATACAAATAAAATTATTTGTGCAGTAGCTGACCTCCTTTTTGTTGTCTTGACGGCCTAGCAAAGCCCGTCAGCCTGGGAGCCCGTCCTGCCCGCCTCATCATGACCCGGTGAACACCCGCCAGTAGCTATTCTCCTTCAGAAACGCCAGCCTGGAGTCTCTTGAATCTAAATCTCTAAATCAGCCCTGCAGAGAGGGATTCCCGACGATTAGCCCTCGCCAGCACCTCAGCTGTTCTCACAAACCATGATGCCCTCTACGGAGGTGTAGAAACATGAGATGTCACGTGCAGCAGAGAACGGGATCCGGTTGAGTCTCTCGCGATCGAAAGACCTTTTTTCATTTACGAGTCCCGCCCTGTTGGTGCCAGTACAACAGAAAACCTGATATCCGTATTAGCTCGGATGATTGTGAGGTGCACTGTTGTGCTCGCTACGGATAAAATGACTGATCCCATATCCGCTACCGTCCGTGAGAGCAGTTACTGGGCGCTCCAGTCGATTAATTTGCCGGCACCGGATCATCAACGTCCTTTTTCTTAACAGCACAGGCTGTCCATCCGGGCTTATGAGCCTTGACCCCGCGACTAGCATGATCACAGGCGACGCACTTATCCGAGCCGTCTGGGTATTCGGCCTCTTTGTGTCCGGAGGCACCGCATTTGTGGCACGCTCTCTAGAGATTAGGACCGTTGTAATCCCTAGTGGCGTGACCGAAGCCGTGGCACCCGTAGCACCTTGGCTCTGAAACCCGGACCCGAACCCTGCACTGTACTGTACTGACTCGGGTGATCGTGGTGGCCACTGCGCGAGACACCTGAACTATGGATACCTTGTTGCCCAGTCTTGAGTGCCGACAAGCCGGTGACAATAATGTCAGACTTGTTGGTGACGACCACTGGAGTCTCTCTCGTCTCTGTTAACCGCTTTGCGGAACGCGCCAAGCACCTCTTCGGATGTGGCCGACACGTCTGAGTCGAGGGTTCAAGGATTACAATCTGCAGTGACTACCTGGTGACCACGCCAGTTTGATAGTCAAACTTTTCGACTAGTAAGCCCCTGATTTTACTCGCCGTGACCAACGGTCTTGCGGTTCCTCGGGAGCTCGACGAGAACATCGCCAAAGCAGCGAGTCTTTTTTTTAACCACAGTTTTATATACCTATACGTGCATATTATAATATATTGCATTTATTCGTACACATATAAATCGTTGAACTCTGTTTTCAAGTAGGTATTCAATTGATTGAAATTTCAGCAAGTAATAGGATTTTACAGTGTTGTACACATTATCTATTGTGTGTTTTGCTATATTTCATAATAAAATTAATTTATTAACATTAGATTAGGTTGGGTTATGTATCTATAATATATATTATTTACGACTATGTTTCCCCTGTCAGTCACCGTCAGTGAAATGTTCAGACATTATTTTCCACGGAATCGAATACAGTAAATAATAATCATGGGTTTGTAATAGGAATGCGTCTGCATTGTGTGATCCGCACAACATTAATTGTAATTATGTTTCTCTGCGATTGTCCTCGATAGCCGACGGAAGAGTTCGAGCAGATTTAGGTTTTCCAAGCAAGTTACTCTCAGATCTTATGTAGACTCCCCTTCGTTGCGTTAACTTTAAAGTGCCTTCTTTTTCTTCGAATAACCACCACAGACAGATCCGTCATTATAATTAACGTGGTCCAAGACGAAATTTTAAATATTTTATTATATTATAGGTGATTGGTATAGATTTTTTTTTTTTCTGAACGCGAGACTCCAAAGACTCTGAACGATTCGCGAATGAATCGCGTTATACGCCAGCCCGACCCGACGGCACGAGAACAATGATATTTAAAAGCCGCGGATTCAGAAAAAAAAAAAAAAAAACAAAAACGGCTTAAATGATATTACATAATAATTTCGAAATAATACCTATATTATTATGTAACGCTACGACACGTCGTGTTTTCGAGCCAACGGGCGGAAAAGGGAAGACGCAACCCTTAACCTCCCCTCCGCGCGCGGCTGGTCAGCGTACGTATAATACACCGGCGGGGGGGGGAGGAGATAGTATTGCGTAGGTATTACATACGCACACGCACACACCTATTATAATATACATCATCGGCGGCACGCTGCAAATGACGGTGGCAGCTGCACACACACGAGTGTATATCCGAATTTTTTTTTGTCTATTATTATTATTATTATTATTATTGTTGTTATACATTATTGTACGCGTACGTAATGTGTACATATATTTACACGGGTACGAGCGTACTCGGCTCGTCATTGCACCCGTCGCGGCAGCCGCCGCCGCCGCCGCCGCCGCCGCTGCCGTCCGGTCCGTACGGATATCGAGGAAGGCAGCTGCTGTCGGCCGTCGCGTCGCGTTTACGCGTTTCCGTCTCCGCTGCTCGGCGAAACGGTTTTTAGTCCGACAGTTCCTGTGTCCGTCGTATCAACGAGCGCGCGCGCGCGCAACACACGGACCGCCGACGATACCGTTTCGCCAGCCGCAATAAATACGACGCGTACGTTTCCCGTTTTCGCGCAGCCGTGACACGCTGGTACCGGGCGCGCCGACGATTTCCGCGCGGCCGTTGTAAACCGTTTGAAAAATACCCGCGCCACCGCGTTCCGTGCCGCCCGTCCCGCGTACGCGCGCGTCTTTGGCGTGTCACCACGCTGTTGCCGGGCGCGTTATTCGCGTAAGGGATCGAACGCCCGACCTGCCCGAGCGCGAGTCACCGTCAATCGGTCGTTAATTACGTTTACGAGAAATAACACTTGACAAACGGGCATTACGTCGGCGGAAAATACTGTATACACGTATATGTATATGTATACACATACATATCGGTAAGTATACGCGTGCCCGTAGAAACGCACGAGTTATAAATTTAAAAACGTGAAACCGTCGGTCACATTAAAATGTCGTTTTACATCTCCCGTTTCGTCCGCTGTGTATTTTTCAATTCGAAACATTGTCAAACAGACCTGTAGCGAATATAAAAAAAAAATGTACAAAATACTATTTAACACGATAAAATTGTTTTCCGGTTTTTTTTATAAACATATACATATGGGTGTACGATATTATTACCGTGGCATTTGAATCGCGATTTATTTTTACGTTATAAAAAAAAAAAAATGTACTGATTAAACCTATATTAGGTGCAGTGTTATCGCAATGATAACGATATGTTTTTTTCTATTCACGGTGTAATGTTGCGATTTGCTAACGACTGCGGACTGCAAATGTCGTCATGAAATATTACGCAATTGTATATTTTTGTTAATAATATTTTAATTTTTCTTAGAAAGTATTAATTTTCTTCGATAATTTTTTACCCGATATATACGGGTATACCCAAACCCGGATTAAGACAATTTCGGGCCTGGGGCCAAACAGTTTTATGGGTCCGTAAACATATTGGCAATATCGGTGTTTATACAGTACTACCAGCCAAGGCCAGGGGCCCGGGTCCCCGTCCCCCCTTGGCAGTTATATTGTATTTTTAGTTGTAATAATATAATTATATAATATTCATTATATAATTTATAAAATTGAAAATTATAACGATTATAAATCGTCGTTTAAATTGCAGTTAGACCAATTATTACGATGGTCGATAATATTGATATAGGTACTTATTTGATTGCAATCCTATCTGTATTCTATATGTATAGTGTTCATTGTTCAACATTTATACGACAAAGTTCGCCCCATCCCCCCTCCTCCCGAAAAGGAAAATTCTATATCCGCCATTGGAGTATATACCCATGGTGCCTTTGGTATCCAAAAATAATATAAATATTTACATACATAACTACCTGGCTGTTTTTATTATCACTAAATATTATTATATTATAGGTAATGTATTGTTATACTGCTTCTCTTGTACAAAAATAATATTCTTCGATCTTCAGTAAACACGATTGCTCGGCATGGTGTGCCTACTTACTGTTTGCTTGATATAAAATAGCGTCATTGAACTCAGCCTAACGCGTGGGGGCTCTACCCCCGACCCCCTTATACCAATTTTTAAACATAATTCGGTTACGAAAAACAACGACACTATGCAGCCCGCGCAGGCTGAGTTTATGTGCTTACAGTATATTTATTTTAGATTCGACTACCGGCATTACGATAGGTGTTTTTACTTTTCAGTCCGTAAACAGCTTACCCGTCTGCCGCAAATCTTACTCCGTGAGATCTTCGCAGCGTCCCCCTCCAATTCGAGCGCTGTATAAATCGAATCGTACTCGACACCTGCTATTTACTGGGCTGGTGATGGCGAAACGATTACCTGCGACAATCCAGTAGCAACCTATAGTCCACTATTCGGTACCCAAACACCCATATTTTTGCTAAAGTAGTACGGTGAACGAGTATATTAACGTTTAGTTATTTTCAAATCGAGCATCCATCCACCCCTAAATCTTAAATAGTGACCGCTACTCAAAGGTCGTATTCGTTTCGCCGCTGTACCCGCAGGCTACGGGCTACGCGGCGTTAATAAACCGGCGATGTGGGTGTGCACGTTGAATCAATAATGCGGGTGTAAATGCGTTTTTGGAAGACGAAAATTAATTTCCAGGTATTTGTATTTGGCCGTTTTTCAATCGCACGTCGCCTTACCGATTTCTGTTAGCGCACACTGCTCGTTTGTGTGACATGATAATATTATTGACTGTCGTTATGGGCGATATAATAATATATCAGGTATATATATTTAAAAAAAAAAAAAAAAAAAAAAACGATAAAACATTCGGATTATTCGAATAATAATAGAAAAATGCATAGAAATACTTATGACTAATGCGACGGTTGTTTAAAGCGTAAGAAATATTATGTATGTGTTTTCTAGACTACTTTTAGTACCTACTTCTCTACTTATATATATATATATATACATACACGCTATGTACGACGACTTTTTATAACTGTACTGTGGAACGCGCAAAATATGTTAACAAATATAAAATATGCGCCAACGGTTGGTGGCGAACAGCGTCGTTGACCCGATCGTAAAAATGAGTATAAAATAACGATAATAATTAGGTATTATAATAAAACGGCCATAATTTACGTTAAATAATTATAACGAGTAAATTAAAAATGAGAAAAAAAAAAAACCATATAATTTAAAAACACGATTCTCGTCGTAATAATGCATAATATTAGGTAGATACCCACACCTAACCCATACGTAGGTATACGGCCAACATATTATAATGTACACTCTACAGGTATACATTTTTAAACAAATATTATTGACTGACGTTTCAGTCGCCGAAGTTATTTGAATATTATTAATTTCAATGACGTTAAATGAAGTAGACCTTGAAAGAATACGACCCGGCGATGATGTCAATTAAAAACAATGTATACAATTACGGTATAAAATATAGAAAATACATCGGTTCTCGTATTTATGTGGGATAAATAATAATACTGCACGGTCCACGTAGGCACTCCATTGGATAACATTATCGTATCGAAATGTAATTATTTTTGCAACTATTATTGTCGAGTTAATTGCTGCCCTGTGCCTATACCCTGGTTCCGTACACCAGTGCGTACCTACCTATGTGAAATACCTACCAAATTATCGAAATCGATAGATTGGTAGGTATTTATTTACGACTTTTAAGGGAAAATTGGGGAGGGGCGTTGCATTAACACACTTTAGACGGCTATCATCTAAAGACTGGGTTTTTAGTACACCTGAATCACACCAAGCCCACTAATATTACACGAGTTGCGTGTCTCTATAGGGAGCCTCCCTAATCCCCCTCCCCCCCCGTTAACGCGGTACAAGTATTGAAATACGCGAATACATAAAATGTCATCGGAAATGTATGCCGATGCGGCAACTTGTTTGTTAAATTCAATAATACAACAGCTCTTTAAAATAATATCGTGAGTGCACCGTCACAATATGAAATGCATTAAATATTTGTCTAGACGAATAGGCAATAATAATATACCTATTCAGCGATGTATTGTAATATTGTGATTATATTTTTATTTTCCGATGGTAATAAACGAGGAATAAAACAATTTAAATGGCCTAGCTACAGTTTACCTCTATCCGTTTGGTCTGAATTTTCGGCATGTCAAGATTTTTCTGGAAATCAATTTCCCAAAATTGTTCTGTAGGTATAGGTAATAAATTTAAATTTATCGACACCATAATTTATCACCCTACTCGGTGATACAATCGGTTTGTAATAACGAAAATTGCAACGAATATAAAAACTAGAACAACAAAATCTGGAACGACTCTCTTTTCTTATTCGACATTTTTGTATGAGAAAAAAATTCGTTTCAAATTTGACCGTTCTGTGTTTTGCCATTCAAAACAATACTATATTGCGTCCAAGTTTCAAATAACTGTATTAAAACACGTTTATTTTTTATTATTATTTAAACGGATATATATTTTCACAGCGATCAATATATTATTTTTTTCCGCCCATTTATCAAAAAAAAAATAATAATAATAATAATAACAGGATTAAAATTATAAATATATTGATTCACTATTGCACAAACATATATAAAATCTTTTTTGTGATTTCTAGATCATTTCAATAAATCCATTGGGCCAATTTCAGTATTTTAACGTTTTACTTCATAAGTGGGTAAGTTGGGTATTATTATAGTTAATAATTTTTTATTATCTAGTTTACTAATAACATGTATATTTTTTTAACTATTAGGAATGACGGAAGGATTCAAATCAAAGGAAATTATTTTACAAGCCCAAAAGAAAATCTTAGGTAAAGTGACCAATAAGAATGTTGTGAAATTGTTTATCGACGAACGGAACGCCAGCATTTTAGATAATTTGTACCGCCTTGCAAAAATATATGTAAGTTTAAACGGTTTTACATACTTAGTCTTTCATGTTGAATGAATTTGTAAAAATCTATTCACGTTTTCTTATACAACCTATCACGATTAACACCATTGATTATAAATAGTTTCTTTATTTTAAATAGTCTATTTATAATCAATGCTAAGTAACACCTAAAACTGTTGGTATCATATGTGGAACCTGAATAGGTTACAATAGAATGTACATCATGTATATTCCTAACTACTTAAAAAATTATTTTATAAATGCAATAATTCACATTTATACTCTTTTCGCCTCTTAATGTGGATATTTTTTATTTTTATTATTTATTTTTAGATTTTACATGATATCTACCTAATATTTGTAATGTTTACAACTACATAATATACAATTAATAGCCAACAGATGAGATATATTATAGTCAATATGAATTTTACCCTTTGACCAGATAAAAACCTTATATTTACATTAAAAATAATGTTTAGTTTTTAATAGACCATTCTTTTGAAATTAAAATACCGGTACTGCAGTTGGTATTTACATAAAAATATTATATTTTTCAATATTTTAAATAAACGCAATAATAATATTGTATTGTGAAATATTTGTTTAAATAACCTACGTGGCTTTGTATAATACTTAGGAATATTATTAATCATCCATTTGACTAAAAATGTTGTCATTTAAGATTCCTAAATGGTAATTAGGTAATTAGTTATAAAAAAAAATATTTGTTTTACAATATTTTTTTTTGTATTGAACAACACATTTAAAATAATTAAACAGATTTTTATTTTAGTAACTATTTCACAATTTGCATTGTTTATTGTTTTGTATTGACTATTATTTATTAAAAATCATGTACAACAACTACCAATATGTGACCAATAATAAGTGGCAATACCTAGTTAATACTCAAAACAAAATATATTGAATTTAGAATTAGAAATATTTCAATAATTTACATGGCATACAATTCGATTAAACGCGAGTTGCACTGTACATTATATTTACCTACCTACTTATTATTATGAACTTGAACCCCCCTCCCCCCCAGAAAGCAAACAAATTAAAATCGGATAAATATTTGTGTAGTATAGTTAAATAGTACCTATACAAATTATACATATAATTATTGTGTTATTAGGTTTCAAAGCTGTGGCTAAATATTAAATACATTAAAGACTTTATTGCACAGAAAAACTAATTAATAGTGAATTAGATTTAGTTAAAGTTAGACAATTAGACAATTGAATTATTGAAATTTGCATACCTACATATTTAATATTTCATCCCTTCCAATAAAAGCTCATCTTCTATAAACTATACCAATAGACGTCCCTTGTAGAGAAAATTTAAAATACACCACTGTATGCATTTGATAGGTAATAGTAAGTATACCGTTATCATTAATCATTACAAGGAAGCTAATTATTTTTTCTATTGTTCTTTTTTAGACGGGAAATAAGAAGGAATCCGAAAAGCTGACGAAAAACATTATAAAAATAATCGTAAAATTAAGTATATTATCTAGAAATGATCAATTTGATAATAACGAATTGAAATTAGCCCATAATTTCAAAGACGTATTTAGAGAAATAATTATGATCACAATAAGCTTTTATGAAATAGAATTCAGTTATAATAAAAATTATTTAACTAGTTATTTATTCAAATGCAAAGAAATACTAAAAGATTTAACCAAAAAGCATCTCACAGACAAGACATTAACTCGAATCGATAAAATATTCGAATTTTTTTCAAATCCCCTTTTCTTAGATACAGTATTTATTAAACAAGAGTCCCAATTAATTGTAGATACCGTGAAGATTTTAATTGACGGATTAAAAGAATTATTAGACAAAGATTTATAAAAGAGGAATACCTACTGAATATTTTAAAATATATTCAGTACCTACCTACCTATATGATGTATTTACCTATACTTGTTTATTCTACCATATCTACCCATATCATATCTGACATAAATGTACACTTATAAGTTATAATCTTGTAAATATAATTTAGGTACCTACCTACCTAGTTATTAAATGTTTTTAAAATGTTATTGAATTTAAGTATAGTCATTAAAATTGTATATTCTTTGTAATAATTCTTCTAGACTCTGGACTGACATTAGTTTTTAAATACATTTTACTTATCTAAGTTTGTGCACACTACCGAAATATTTTTAAACATGTATGACTTATGATGTATCAATCTGTTTATATTGTGTTGTATGTATATGTACTATATGTATATTGTATAATGCATAGGTACATTTATACTGTATATATATAGTGTACATAATATACATAGGTACATTGTACCTACATAAACGTTAAACACCTATTATATTATTATAGTATTTGTCTTTTTTTAAATTTATTCAAATAGGAGGTAGCTACCTAGTTCCTATTTTTGAAAATATAATTTATAATATTCCATAATACCTATGTATAATAATGCTATGAATTATAATTAAATTATTTTTTACTCGTCATATTATATTGTACTTTCACACAAATTTTGTACCTATTTATTGTGTCTTGTTTTATATGAGACGTATAACTCATTCATTCCATTCAAAATTAAAATCTGTCTTTAGATATATTTTATGAACTTAAAATATAATGGACAAAAAATGGTTTAATGTATTGGTAAGTACCTACATTTTATATTTCTCTGTTATTACCTAAACTATGTTATTCAATGTTAGATTACCATTTGTAAATTAAATTTAATATTATTAATTTATTATAGATGTACTATATGTAATATATATATATATATATATATAATGGGTGCAACAAAGTCTAAAGGCTATTAATAATAAATTATTGTATTTTCTTATTAATGGTTAATGAATATTTGATTAATAAGTAACAGGTATTAGGTATAATAAGTAAATAATGCATTTAGTAGGTACTTATTATAACCTATAATAATATTTCGGTAATATATTGAAATACCTACTTCCCTATGTAAATACTTATACGGTTGTACCAAGTTAACATAACAATATACTGTGTAGACTGCCGTGATTTTTAAATTATCAAAACACATAAGTTACCTATATTACCTTTACCTATCATAAGTACTTATACCAATCACATTAATTTTATAACATACTTATACTAGGTATATCTTTTTTTCTCCTTAATTTTCATTCCAACTATTTGGAACCACCCTTGGATGCCATCGTCGTCCTGAATTTTCACCATAATCCTTAATTAAAAATAAATCAAAATGCAACTGGTTCCAAATATTAATAATGTTTTTTTTTTTTTTTATATATATATACTGTGATAAAAATGTCTACCAGAAATCTTACTTCAATATGTAAGTGTAGCACGTTTTTTGAAAGAAAGTATTGTTATATTGACTAGATGGTACTTTAGGAAGGTCATTTTTTGATTTTCCAAGCAGTTTTCATGTCAGGAAAACCCTGAATAAAGCATAAGAAAAATGGAAAAATTTACAAAATTAATGCTTTTATTATTTCAAATTTTGTGCTGGTAGAAAATTATTCGCTGCCCCTCCTTCATGGAATTGACCCGAAGACGCCCCTGAACAATACTATTAACCGAGCTCCGTTCAGAATCGTTTTTTTGTTGGCTATGCTTACATTTACTTAGGTACAGGTATACATTAAAGTTCCCTCAATATCCTACATTCCCATCTTCTCATCTGTAACAGTGGTCCACCCATCGTGCGAAATATGTCAGTTTTTTTTTCTTAACAATCATTAATCATTAAGTTATTAATTATTTCGCCCCCCCTCCCCCTCATATTCAAAATCTGGAGACGCCCTTGAACTCGATGTACGATGACTGATGAAATATGAATGTGAAAATTGTCCATATAAATAATTAATAGAACAACATATTATAATGCAAAGAAAAAGAGATTATAAAATATAATAGACCGTGCTAAATTGTACGACACCAACACTCGTAGCGGGACACGGTCTTAAAACATTTCTGATGTAGACGTTATTATTCGTCCTTATCATTTTCGAATATGGCATCCTGGCTCCTGGCTCTTTTAGTCCTTTAGTCTATAGGCCGCGTCTGCTTCTATGCCTATCGCGGATTAAAATGTAAAAGGAATTTACATCTCGATGGATACATCTTAATTCGTGATGCCTATAAATAAATATAACTGCTTTAGCGCTTTATCATGTTTTATAGTAACAATACCTTGGCTTATAAGTTATAACGTATTCCGTAATGTGTGGTACTATTGCATCTAAAACGGGCGATACAATTGTTCAGTGCAGTCGAATCATGAATCACACGGAACATAGTTTTTACAATAATTACCAACTAAACGCTACCTCTTAATACTATTAAAAATAAAAATATTAATATAGTAATATTATTTCTGTAATAATAATATTAATATAGTCTTTTTGATTTTATAAATTATCAATTCAAATTATAAATTTAAAAATTATACACTTATGATAAAGAAAAACCTTTATCAATAAAAGATAAAGCGCACTGGCTTGAGGACACGGAGTTATGTTAATTAACTTATTCTATTGTCTATGTTTAACTCCACGGTATCTCCACGATTACCTATCTATTATCTATTATAATCTACCGTGGTTAACTCCATGCTAGATGAGCCCGTGCAATTATCACTGCATTCGGTGTAGGAAACTGGTGTAGTGCGCGCGTGTGAAACATAAAAACCCGCACAATGTGACCCAATATCTCATAACAGGGAATATTCAAATGTGCACCAATTGCATCCGATGTAGTCGCATGGAAAACGGTATTAAAATAATTTTCTCAAATACCATAGACCTTATAATAACTTATACTTATATAAGATCTATGTTTAACGCGTGACTAAATAACCTGTAGCATAACCTCATTAAAGTTGTTAATTATAACATAACATCTTCCGATCCTCGTGTTATTCAATACTTGGTCATATTACTAACGAAAATTAACAATCCAGTCATCAGTTCTGAAAAATCCAGGTAATTATAACGTATAGATTGTTTTATCTTATAAGGGATTCTTCTTCGGTCAGTCTTGACTCTAACTAAAAAAAAAAAAAAATGTCAAATTATCAAAAAACGCTAAATACAAATATTTTCCGTGCTTGCCATCTTGCCAATGTTCCGTCATTAAATTTTCGGTTTTCCAATTTCTCCCAGAAATGTGACAGGTTTAAAAGTTCGGGTTTGCGGTCTTAGAAACATGCAGAAAGTCTGCCTTTTTGGATGAATAAAAAGAGTATCGAAAATCTTACATATATTTTCCATTCCCCTCCTTACCTAATTAACGTTTTTCAGTTAGAATTAACATTACAATTGCCCTGAAAAATATATTTTTATTTCTTACCTACCCAAAAACCACGTGGTTAAAAAAAATTGAAATATTGAAATTCTGACTGTTTGGAGTTTTATTAATGTACTATACTGATAAACAACCACTATAACACTTCGATATTTTTAGGTTTAGTTATGACCTCGAGAGCTAGACAGTAGGTGTCTTTGAACAAAACAATTTTTCCAAATTCGCCAACGTGTACCTCTAAACACGTTGTGTCTCGGCGGGATATGAGAAAATCGAAAATTCAATCACGAATAATTGGTCAGAAGGGGCGTACGAAAAGGTTGTATTTGGCGTTTCTCGATATTTTGACTTTTTTGTCCTTTGCCTTCATCTCAATTATTTAAAGTCGTCATCCTCGTTCTAAACTTCTTATTGACCAGATCTCCCACCTCATATACACGGGCCTGCCTCATATAATTATCGATTGCATCCAACAACCTTTCGGTCTTCCTTTCCTAATCTTAGCTACTACGTTTATTTATATTACAATTCTCACTGCTTCAGATTCTTTTTCCCATGACCTGCCGCAACCATCTCTGTCCATTTTTTCTATTATTAAAGCCATGCCTAAGCTACTTTTTATGTACTCATCCCTTTTCCTATCTTTTCTTTTCACACCACCTAACCATTCTCATCTCTGCTATTTCTGTCTAACACCCAACACTGAACCGTACAACATAGTCTTACATTACTTTTGTAGAACTTTAAGTCCCATTGAAATTCTGTTGTCATCTATCTTACACAGTAATCATTTTATTTATTATTTTTATAGAATTACACCAATAATTAAATATATAATAATTTGGTTTTATATAATTTTGCTTTACAGCTAATTATAAATAATAATACTAATCAGATATACTGTTTTAAATTTAGATTTTCAATTTAAACTGTACACTTAAGTTGATTGAAATGGATCAATATCACAGTTTCTCTTCCGCGGTCAATAACAATGACGACTTTGTAAATGTATTGATTAAGTACAAATATATAAGTTCCACAAATGTAGAAAAAACTTTTAGATCTGTTGATCGTGGATTTTATTATAAAGATGAAGACAAACCTCATGCTTATGATGGATCACTCAACCTTTTATGTGACCCATGTGTATATGCTACTGCTCTAGAGTCTTTAAAGCTATGTTCTGGACATTCTTTTTTAAATATTGGCTCTGGAATTGGTTATTTTAGTACAATGGCTGGTATATTATTGGGTAATCTTGAAACATTATAATTATGTATTTATGTAAAATCTTCAAATTGGTTTTCCTTTTTAACAAAAAAAACTTATTTTTACTAATAACATGAAATTGTAGTTTCTATTTTTTCTATTTAGGTAGAAATGGTGTGAATCATGGAATTGAAATTGATAAAAAATTAATAGATTTTGCAATAGAAAAGTTAGCAGAATTTAAATTAAATTCTGCAGCAATAGATCATCATGACTTTTGTGAACCAATTTTTATCCAGGGTAAATTGAATATATATGAACAATGTTTTAAATAAATAATTGTGTATAAATTATTGATATAGGCAATGCATGTGAATTATTACCAACGGGTTACTATGATAGAGTATTTTGTGGTGCTGCTGTACCACCTGAAGAATTTGAATTCATGAAATCTCTTATTAAGGTTCTTATTTTCTATGAATTACATTTAAAAAAAATAAAGACAAAATTATTATTTTGCCTTTTTTTAGATCGGTGGAATATTAGTTATGGTATTAGAAGGGGCTCTACTGAAAGTAATTAGACAAGATGAGCATTTATGGTACACAACTGAATTATTAAATGAAATATTCGAAGATTCATTTCCACTTCTCTTAGTACCTGAACCTTGTAGTTTGAAAATCGTGACTTTTCGTAAGTTTAAATATTTTAAATTTTGATTAATTTTAAATTTCTATTATTTTGTAGCTTCTGTTAAACCATTAACTTTGCAAGAGTTGTGTAGATCTAATATTCGTTCATTTATGCGCCAACATTTGCAAAAAGAAAACTCTGAATTGAAAATATACACTGAATGTGTTAGTTTAAATAGTAATGCATTTAAACAATTTGTTTGTGAAAAAAAAGATGAAGTGGTGGAACAAGTTAATTTACAAGACATAGAAAATGTTTCCTCTGATGAATCTTCTGTAATTGACATAGACAATTTTTTGGATAGTGCAAAGATCAGTGATGATGAAGAGGAAAGTGATCCATCATTACAATGTCCATTAAAACGTGTAACAAACATTCAACCAACATGTGTTTGGACACATGGTATTTATGGTCCCTTGGATACCACTGGTATGATTAGATTATTGATGTTGAATGATATTATCAGTTGGATATCTTATATAGATTTATTGTTTGACAATTTAGATGAAAGTGAAAATGACAGCGAAGCTGATAGTGACTTAAAAAATAATTATTTCATAAGTGATTACAGATTAAATGAGTTAAGTAAACGTTTAAAAGAAAACATTTACTCGTTGTCCATACCAACTCCACTCAAACATTTTCTTAACTATTACAGGATCGATTAACAAGTAACTATTTAAAAAAATGAAAATATAGTAAAATCATTTTTTAATTATAATAGGAAATAATATTATTAAAGGAAATATTAATTTTGTAACTATAGATATACTTTAATTATAAAATAAAAGTTGGAAAGATAGGTTATCTACATAAAGTTATTTAATTTATGTATTTAAGCAATTGGTTGAAATATCTAAATACAGTTTCCTTACTAACCAACTAAATCTAAAATAAAACAAAAGAATTTTGCTTGTTACCTTTCGATTGGAGCAAGATTTCTTATCAAAAATTGGTTCGCAGACGCGAAAACAAAATACAAAGAAAAACCAATAGTCCCTTTGTTACCAGTGGTGCCGAACTTAAGGTATTAAAGTATATATCCAAACAAAATGTTTTGAAAATATAAAACTATGAATTGTGTAATATAATATTTATATATTGCTAGATGACCAGGCACTCAGACATGGATAAAATATTTTTAAAAAGTATTAAGAATACATACTAAAAATAGCATTTACAATATATATTCGAATACTTTACCAAATGTATTCCGAATATTTCAGAAATACTATCTAAATACGTAAAATTAAATTTAGAAGATAGGAAACTAGATATTAAATGATGATAGTTAACATAATTATATTTATGTAATATATTATGTTGTGCAATAAGAGCTATATTCAATTTGACTAATTTATAATACTTAGGGGCTAAATAAATAAATATAACACAATTTATTTTATTATCTTCAAAGTTTGTACAATAAATCTATAAGAATATTTGCATTTCATTTCTAGGAAAGAAATTATAGCTTTTTGAAGTTCTTTTATTATGCGGATATTTATTTATTTGTGTACATTAAAGGAGTAGCCCTTGTTTAAAAGTACAATATACATAATAATTTTAAGATTATAAGACATTAAAGAAAAAACAAAAATAACATTCAGTAAAGGTAAGTAATAAGGTACACAAAACAAAACTTTACATTTCATGGACAGGCATAAGGAAGGAGTAATCCATTTTGGCGCGAGACATTAATTGCCTAATAGGTTTATTACGCATGTAGTTGGTAGCAAAATGTGGAATTAAAAAAGGAATGGCTGACTCTAGTACTGCGCTGGGGAACCTTTAAATGAAGTGAAGAGATTAGAACGGACGAATCCACTTAATTATTCAAAAGATCTTTCATGAAGTTTATACCCGCTAAATTTCTACACTCAGCCAAACATGCTGAATTGAGTAAATTAGACTGGGGTTAATCATATGGCTAAAACCGTTGCTGAACCCTTTCAAGCTGCTAAAAATCACCTGCAGTATTAGGATCCTATACTTAAGGATTGGACGCACCAGTGCAAAAAATAAGTACCTTCAAAAATATACCAGAACAAAAATTCTTGTATTATACATATTTTATGTACTCTATATTGTCTTTAAATTATGTCTGTCATAGTATATAATGTTTATAGATACTTGTCATCCTAGGGATCGTAAGTTCTTGAATCCGGGTTTCAAAAAAAAATTATTTATATTTATTGTTTTCCTTTTATCTTTCCGAAGTTTTCTCACAAAATGTGAAAAACAGGAAAATCTGAGAAATGTATTGGTAAAATATTAATATTCGTTTTCTGTGGATAACTTTTTTACCAACAATTTTGCTTCTATTTATTTATAATGATAGCACTTTTGCCTGAAAGGAAATTGATTTGAAATGTACTTTAAGGAGGTGAGTTTTTGATTTTCCTAGAAGTTTTCTCAATTAATGGGAAAATCGATTCAATATTGTCAAAGAAAATATATAATGTTTATTTAATTATTTTACCATAATATAAATATATATTGTTGACAAAGCAACACTATCAACTGAACTCGCTCAGAATCTTTTTGGACATTAAATACATTACATTGTTAACTTCCAAACTTCTCACCTATTACAATGACTGCACCCAATGTTTGAAGTATCTAAGTCTTTAAATTTAAGATTTTCAATTTGTACACCTATTGCATTATAAATTATTAATATATGTACAGTACATAATAACCGCGCTACCGTTAGAGCCATACGACACGTGATTTACTCCCGACGTCAAAATAATGTTACAGCGTAACAATAAAATTATCGTTTTGCTTTTGTAATACCGAACATTTCTACTTAAATTTTTACAGATTGGGTATGATATTGAATTTATACCTAATAAAGAGATGTATGTATAAGATATTTTAAATGTAGCACAATTATTAACATTTAAAAGTTCTACAATAAATCAAATTTAAATATATACCTTATATCATATATGTATAGCTTAAATAATGATTTCGGATTGTAAATTATTATAATTAGTACTTTGTTTAATGTAAATTACAAAAAAAACTACCTACGTTTGGTACTTTAAATATCGGAATTCATTATGCATAACACTTAACGAATTGAACATGATTACAAATAGATAGCGGTATAGGTACCCGCACGATTATTTTAACATGGGTATAGCCTACTTTCTAGGTAAGTACCAATTAGACCTAACTATATTTTTCTTGTATAACAATAAGTAATTTTTTTGAATACTTACTTATTCTTTATTGTCTAGTATAATTAAGTAGGTATTATAAAACCCTCCAACATATATATACATACCTCCGTGAGATGAAATACCGAAAGAATGATGCGATGTTTCCGAAGAGTAGAACATGATTGCGTACGAATTCGTATATGCAACGTTGTCAAATTTATATATCCCTCATATAATACTCATTAATTATCCAGTGTAATAATTTTATCTGAACTACAAAAAAAAAAAATATTTTAAATATTTCAATACATTTGTATGGACTTTATACTCGTCATAAACCTTTAAATAATATTTTGAGTTCGAATAAAATACTATTTTGCCATTTTCTTTATTTTTCCGTTCGTTAATAATTGATCGTGGTCTTGTTTATTAAAATTTAAAAGTGCAAACTATTTTCCTTTTTTGGATTTTATTTGTTTAATAGAATTTTCGATATTACAAAACGTCGATAAAATATCTACATATGTTCACAAAATGCCCTATATATATATTTGAAATAACGATGTTCCCAACATTTAATATGTATTTGATGTTGCGTTGACATCTTTAACAATAAACGTTTATGGAAAAACGCCAAGTTTTTATGAATTATTGATTCTGGTTCACACGTGAGGTATGTTATAATTATATCGGTATGAAAATTGGCGTTAACGCTTAAAATTTCGTACGCAATCGTGTAGTTTAAAAAGGCATCGTCGATAACGAACGTACCACGTACGCAATCGTATTTTACCAGTTTCTGAATATTAGAGACTGCATGCGGTGATCGTCATTCGGCAATTGTTTTGGCCATTACACAGATGTTTGATGATCTGGTGGAATTCTTTGTGGTGAACTTTGGCTTTCGTATTATACTCGGCAACTAGTAGAAACTATTCGGCACCATAAATCACATAATACCAAATTCTATAGAATAATTAAATATATATAATACTATCTTATAGATTGCTAGGTGTATTTTAATGGTGTACATTGGTGCATTTGTTGTCGTATGCAAAGTCAGGTAGTTGATATATAACCAATACTTTATAATACTCGTAATAATATAATAATCTTTACACAGGTATCAATACTTATCATTAAAATTTTTAAAACTTAAAACTGTATAGAAATGTATCAAATTATTATTAGGAATTCTTTTAGAATTATATTTAAACGTCACTTACTCAGCTAATTTGATAATTAAAACAAAGTAAAAAAACACATGTGAAATAAAACATAACTATTACCAGTATTATTTTAAACAATCAAAGTATAAATCTTTATTTTAAAATTTCATTCTCCTTGCCTTTAAATTTGAAAAATCTGTTATAATTTTATCTCTAGATAACTCTTTAATGCACTGAACAATTCAATGTTTAAAACTGCAATATTTGATAATCGGTTCTGTCCCACCGAGTCCATAATTTTTAATTATTTTCAATTTAGAGAATGATCTCTCGGGGCAGTAGCAACGGTGACTGGAAAAGTCGTAAAAATAATACAAGCTTCTAAAACTTCGAATAGCAACTGGACAAATCATTTTCTAAAATAAATAGCGCTGAATTAGGAACAGACAACAAGTTTTTACTATTTCATCAGGGGACAGAATTTGACATGTTAACTCGGTTCAAACATCCGACTTGTTATTTTGAACAATGTTATAACTGCGTTTGACTTTTTCAGTTTCTTTAGATTTCATAATTGATTCCCCGGTGTGCTGGGCAAATCTGAGCGGCAGGTCCGCTATACACGATATTATTATGCCGAATGAAAAACACGAGCAGGGCGTCTACATTACGTTACATTAGCACTGTGGACGGTGTTGCTGTACGTCGATTCACAAAATCGACATTTAGCCAGGAACCAGTACACAATGTTGCCCGGTTAGTCCTCTGATGTTCGTTGGAATTGAGTGCTGTGGAACGAGTTTTTATTGATATTGTGTACCGACGTAGTTTTAAACATTTTTTCGTTGCCTATGTATTTTTCTTAGCGAGGTTTTATTAAGATGTTTATTTTTTTTCTTCTAGTCTGTGAACACGTTTTTTCCTGGTAAAATTGCTCCGATTTTTACGTGTAGCAACTTTTCCGAAGGCTCAAGTTGTCTAGATTTAAAAAAAGGTCATTTTTTGATTTTCGATGCCACGTTTTAAATAAAAGCACTTAAGTGGGAAAAAAACGTAGGCAAACGTACAATATCACGATTTCATTATTTTATAAAAACACAGACGTTTTCTACCGGAAAAAATGATTTAATCGAAAAATCACGAGATACTTTTTTTTGTTGCCTTTTTGATTTACTTTCTTGACAAAACTTTCGAGCCACTTTTAAACTTTTAAGGAATTTTAATTTTTGGGAGTTTTTTGATGTAATTCGATTATAAATACACGTAGAGACTTGGAACTTGATAATAAAAACTTATATTGGACTTACCTAGATGTGGTAAAATTTCCAAAATCATCGGAGGACCTTTTTTTTTTTTTTTTTAAATCAAATTTAAACGAAAGGTTAGTCTCATGGAAATACATATTTGATATAGTTCGTACCATAGGTAGGCCACTATAGTGTGTGACCATTTTTGAAAGTTATTAATAATTTAATGCCCGATTAGATAAGGCTCAAATTCGCAGGATAGGTGTCAAACTCATGAAAATATCTTGTTTTCATATTTCCCAATATGGGTAGGCTATTGTTGTTGTTTGGAAGTTGGGAATGGCATAGTATGTTATATTATGCTTATTGATTTTTATCTATATACCTATCTACGTAGTACGTAGATAATATTTTTTGTTCACAAAATTATTAATTGACGACAAAATTACTACCTACGATTAATCGTAATAGTTATCGATTAATAAAACCACTACGAAAATAAATTATTAAAATTATTTACATTAATATTATTATATACGTATAGCTTTTAATTATATAATAATAAATTAATTCGGCCCATTTACTTACACAAATATTGAAATATACATTCGTTTTTAACGTCGTTGAACCCTTTATAATATATAAGTTGTTATCGATAAGCAACACAACAAACATGCAACCTTAGATCATATACGATGATAATATGATCTGAGCATGCAATATTAAGGTTACCCTCTTATCAAGAAATGATAAACACTTAATTCAAATGGAGCGTGATGGTGAAGTGTAGAAATAGTTAAAGAGTTTTACACTCTAAGACTTGAGATTTCACGTTTGAAATATAAACGAATTTTACTTTAATTCGTTATTGCTTAGGTTTTTAATAATTAATGGCGGATAAGAATTGATTGTAGAAATTTATTCATTATGTCAATGAATTTCGAGGGAAAGAACGAAGAAAAACTTGACAATAGCAATCAATCTCTAACACAAAATTTCCAAATAAGACCTACTCAAAATCAGAAGTAAGTTATAATATTATTGTACATTAATAAACCTTATAATTTTGACTTCCTTATAAATTGAATTAATTTTTTAATATATATTTTGTATACAATTAATATTATTATATATGTACATATAAATAATAATTATAGCAAGTTTCTCGTTGTGAAACAGGTTACAGTTATTGTTTTCAAAAATAATTTTGTATAAATGTAATAATTTTTTTATTTACTGTTTTTTTTTTTTTTCATACCAAATAATTTTGGAAATTTAAAATCAGAGTTAATAGAATTTAATTTATAAAATAAGTCTTCCTAAAATAATAATTTGAATTGTTATCCAAAATATTACAATGACTTTTTATTGATAGCAAACATTTTTTCTACAGATAGGGGTTTCAAATAAAAATCATAAAAATGTTAAGTTTTACTTATTTGATTATAACTTT